TTACTTTAGTATACAGGGTGTCCCGTTTTAAAAACATACATTTCATACCAATAACATTAACAAAATTGACAACTTACAACATTTTTACACTGTTAAAATTAAAAAGCATGTGTGATAATCTTTGAAATCAGAAAAAATGTGCTATTTAATACACTCCTAATATACAGGGTGTCTTATTTAAACATTAAACATGTTTATAAAAATAACTGTAACAATTGAGAGCTTATGACATTTTTGCTAATTTAAAATTAAAACTTGACCAAAACATTTTATTTTTTATTTATTTATCAAAAATAAAATCAAAAAATAGAAAAAAATATAAATAAGTAGTATAATGTTTGTTTAAAATTAGGACAAACAGCAATGTTATATGTGAAAAATAAAATAAAGTTGTTAAGTTAATTTGTATTATGTTATGACAGATGCGCTAGATTTTAGAATATACAATGAAAATCGGTGTTAGCGACTGTTTCATGACACACCCTGTATAAAAAGTCTTTGTTGAATGAAACGCGCAACTAAAAATGTCAATCCACGTGTGCAAGCCTTTTTGACGACATATTATTCCTATTTATTTATTATCGAATTTGTTCCATTTCGCTGTATTACAATTATTACATTATTATTATTACAAATACATACAAAATGGCTTACGTTATGTAGTCTGTCCAACGAGCCGAAGAAGATTTTGACAGAAGATATCCTTAAAAATGACAGCAATTAAATACAATTTACCTGTTAATTAAAATGACAAACACAACTGTCACTGTCATGGATCCTCTCGTTGGATAGACTATCTTACACATGATATTATGAAACAATGCAAAATAGTAGGTATAAATCGATTTATTAGGAGTAAAAATGATACTTTTTGTGGCAAGGCTGTACGTTCGATCGCGAGTGAATTTGTTTCGGGAGACGAAAATGCAATTCTATCGTCGTGTATAAAACAATATTTTTTTCCATAGCGAGTTACGTTTTAAAAAATATTCAGAAATTATTATCTTAAGGAATTTATTACGAATAGAAAAAATATTATGCTGGGTTGGCGTTGGTTTCTATGTAGTTCGACAAATAAATAAAGCTGTCTCTTTAGTTGTCAGTTTTGAGTCAATATTTTTTTAATTCTCTTTCGTGGCGATCACAAAACATCCCCCTTTAGAACTTTTTCTTTAATGGCCATAAGCGGGAGTAAAAGCCCAACCGCCCGAACAAACACTAGAGGCGCCACCGGTCATCAAATGGTGTAAAAATTGAGAAAATTTAATCATTTAATTTTGACACAAGGGGTCGCCCTTAACTTTTTCAATTTTAATTCAATATTCATTGTTTTCAAACTATATTATTAGACTTTGTTGTATTTTGTGAATGTATAAATGTTTTCTTAGTATAAAGTTGCATTATAGTAATTTGAATTATATTACATACATATTTAAGATTCAAATATTATGACATATATGTCAGTTGCCGTCTAAAATGTCATCTTGATAACAAAAAGTTAGTTATTGTCAAAAGTAGTTAAAATCATGTTAAAATATTAAAATTTACAAGTTATAATTAGATATTTTATATTATTTCAACAACAAACACATAATAGTACAGCGTAATGTTGATATGCAGGTCCAAAACAAAAAGTGCCGTTATATTTTTCAGTTTTCGTTGTCAGCCGCGGAAGTTTCAGTGATTTTAGTGTTGTCGGATATTTTTATTTGTGAAATAGAAATATTGCGTTTGGATTGCAAAACTAAAAGTGGAAGTTTTATTGCAATGTAAGTAAGCGTTTGTCCATTTTATATTTTACTTTTTTCATACCTACGACAAATATACATATTATATTGAAATTTTATAATTCGTTTTATTTAAAAAATGTTAGAAAACAAGCTTGTAATCCTGTAATTGACATAATCGTTATATAATATATTCCATTTAAATGTAATATATTACTTTAAAATTAAAAAAAATGTAAATTTAAAAAATATATTAAAAATATATACAGGCATTAATTGAAATTTTTTGAGTGCGAACAAACACGAGAGGCGCTTTATTATTTACTTTCATTTCTTAACATGACAGACGAAGTTCTAAAGGGGGATGTTTTGTGGTGGCGATTGCTGATTGAATTGGAGCCCAGAAATGGCTCAAAACGAAATAAGTAAATTACCAACAGATATTCAGGCTGAGGCGACAAACGCCATGTCCAAACTACTTCCATTTAAATCCCGAATAACTTGAAAATGAAAGGAATACAAAAATTTTCAAAAATGGAAGCAATTAAAAAACGTGCGAGATGAAATAAAGTTTTTAACCGATCCTCGCTGTTAAAGTATCATTTAATCTACCCTTGCGGTTAAAGTTCTATTTTATCTACTATTTTTGATAGATACATATATAAGGCAATTTTTACAGTTGCTATGAAAAAAAAAGTAATTATATATCGAGAAACTACGATTACACTCATTAAATTTGACATAGTTTCACACATGTCAGTTTAATAATATATTTTTGCGTACTTTTATGGCCTAGGCGTTAAAATGATTTTTTTTATATCGTCAATCACGTCGCAAAAATTTAAACTTTGTGACGTTTGAAAAAAAAATTATTTTATAATCATGAAAATTGATCAATCACGAAAAAAATATCTGTCTCTAGGCCAGTGGCGCATCTAGAGATTGGGTCTGGGAGGGGTAATGGCAATATTTAAGTAAACTAGTAGATTCAAATTAATTTTTTGCTAAAAAGTTTTTAAGTTTTTTGTAACTATTTTTATTTTATTTCTAAATTTCTTTCTGGGAAGGTTAATTACCCCTATTATCACTCTCGCACGCCACTGTCCTAGGGTACCAAAAATAATTCACAAAAGCAAAAAAAATATATGAACACAAGTATTAACAAAATGGATTATTTTACGAAAAATAATCATTCCAGAACTTATAAAAAATGATTAAATCGACCATTAAACTATTAGATAAATTATCATCTGATTGTAGATATAGTAAGATAAATTCCATAAAATTTAGTTTGTGTTAATACAATAAATAAAATATTAAAAATTATAAACTTTAGAACGAAAATAATACTTGTGTTCATAGAGTTATTGTGACGCAGCTGCGCAAGTATAAAATTTATAATTTTGATAATCTGGAATAAATTTAGAGTAGCTTAGGAAATTATAAACGGTACAAGACAAAAATAATTAACAATGAAATTAGCATGATACAAATTTATAAAGAATGTCTTTAATTGTATTAAAAATTATTATTATTAATATTACGTTATAATACAACTAACAATTTAATTAATAATTACAATATCTAATGACCTTTAATGAATGCAAAAATAAAAGATAAATGAGATTGAAAAAAAAGCTGAAGAGATGAAAAATTATAACAGATTACTATTACATTGCTCAACATATTTTTCATAAAGATTACTGCATAAATTTTAATGATTTAAAATTAATCAAACATGCCTCAAACTAGAGGCAATTAGATAATAAATAGAGCATTAAAATAAATAAATATAAAGGCAATATAAACAGAGATAATAAAAATTAAAAGTATTGTTCTTAACTAGTGGTTTATTTCGCAAAGGCTTATGAAAAAAAAAGATTTCTGTCCAGATTATCAAAATTTTACAAAAAATTAATATTAAAATGACGCCTGATATAATTATATAGTAAGAGGATAAAAATCAATAAACAAATTTATTGAAACAATAACACTATTAATGAAGCTAACGAACCTTGGTGAGGCATTGAGGAGTATTGAGTCTGCTTCATGTTGAGTGAAAGAGGGAAGCGAGGAGTAGGAGCAACTGTTGATATCCACTGTTAAGAAAATGCGGAGATATCTAAAAAATAAAATAAAAATAATATTAAAAAAATGAATAAAACAATCTATGTAAAAATTAAAATAAATATATTTTTATTAACGCAATAACTATGTTTTTTAAATTAATGAATAATTTGTATATACCCTATGAGAAAAAAAACAACATTATAGTATAGTGCCTTTTGAAATAACAGTTGATGACAATTATTTCTGCCAGGTAGACTACAATATACCTATCATTTATAAAAAATTGGTATAAAAATTTATAAAAATTAAAGAATGAAATGTTGAATAATAATTGGTATGTTTGAAACCTTTCTCCTTTTTTTCATTTAAATATTATTTTTGACAAGTTTTTATATCAATTTTTAATAAATGACATATAGGAATAGGTATAGGAATAGTGAAGCTTTAATATTATGAAAACTTATCATAATTTTCAAGCTTGTCGATGAAATTAAGTAAGAAAAAAAAGAGATAAATAACTTACCACTGATGAAGGACTGCGACCACACTAACAGCTATTAAGTACAGTCCTAAATAGTCTTTCTGAGTCTTTTCCTGCAGGTTTTATTCCATTTAAAACTTTTGGCTGCCCACCATAATATTTTCTGATAGTACGGCTTGTGGATTTTTAACAGCAATTGTCCCATCGTACACCTAAAATTCCAAAAAAATATTAAGTAAATTTTTACTATACTATTTTTTGAGGATTTTTGAAAAAAAGATTAATAAAAAAAAACAAAAAAGATTAATCAAAATTATATTTATTAAAATATATATTTATGGCGTTTATTTTAGTGGCTTAAAAATATCGTTAAGGTGTGTGTGACGAGGTCTGTAATTTCAAACCAAACAGTTTTGACTAGCGAATGTTGACAATTTGGCGGAGGATTTTTTTAAATAGTTAATTGTGTGTTGTAATCAGTATAAATTGTGAGAAAATAAATCCGTTAAGTATTTTATCGTGAGTTTAAATTAGCGGACCCACGGAATCCGTAACTATATGCAACCAATAATACAGTATCACCATTTTATTTTGTCCTGCCTATTTTGAATAGTTGTTGGCTGTTCTAATATTGGAACAAAAGCGCTCGAATATTAGAAAATTTTAAAAAGTCTAATGAAATTTTATAAGATAGATAAATAACTTACCATTGATAAAGAACTGCATCCACTCTAACAGCTATTAAGTACAGGTCTTTTTGAGTCTTTTTCTGCAAGTTTAATTCCATTTAAAGCTTTTTGATGTCCGCCATAATATATTATTTGCAACTAGTACTACTTGTTGACTTCAAACAGCAATTGTCCCATTGTATACCTAATATTCAAAAAAAGTATTAAGTTATTTTTTAATGAATCAATTTTTAAAGATTTTTAAATACAAAAAAAATATATTAATATTTAGAACTTGTTTAGAACTACGTAAAATCATAAATATATGGCTATTATACCAATTTAAATAAGTCTCAAACAATAAAGATCTTAAATAGACTCTAATAAAAAATAGTTATAATTTTTATATTAATATTAGCGGTTTTAACGATCGAAAAAAATATAAATAAGGTATCTGCTGTACTAAAAATATCAAAATAAAAAAAATGAACTTATATTTACCATACCGTAATTTTATTGTGCTTATCTTAGTGGAAACTTTAATAATTATTAAAACCAGATTTAAAAACTGCATTTTTTTTCCAAGATCGCTTATACGCAACCAGTAATACAGTGTCTGTATTTTATTTTGTCCTGCCTTTTTATTATTATTTTAGTTAAAAAAAAAACAGAATAAAATAGGGCATGTTAATATTGGACCAAAAGAGCTTGAATACGATGGAAAATTTAATATTTTTATAAGATTTTTAAATTTTATAAGAATAAGTTGAGAGGCATAACTTACCATTATTAAAAGGCAACAGGTGTTGAAGTCTGTGTCCATTAAAAATTTTCCATTAAAACTGGAACTTGGACTGGAAACAGCAGTCAAAACGTCCATTAATACCAATTACCAATTTGTATTGCTTACTAAAAATACAAAAAATAAATAAGTAAATTTTTATAAAGTCAATTTCTTCACAAATGTTGAAATAAAAATGTTTTTTTTTAATATGTTAAGTAGATATTAAAAAAATAAACGCAATAGTAACTATTTAAAATATTGTCAAATATTCATAGATTTTTACAAAAAGAAAACATACTAAATAAAATTAAAATTGTCTGATACAAATTTGTAAATAACTACAAAGATTGAAAAAAAAATATATTAATATATTTTCAATCTCAAACTTATTTTATTTTGAATTTGAAGCCTACAATTTTGTAGTTAAATACAAAAATTGTAGCCTTAAAAAATAATAAAAAAAATAAAAATAACTTACCATTTTCATAGCGCAATGGTAATGAAGGCCAATCAGTCATTTGTGGGTAAGATTTTCAGTATCATTCCATTCAAAAAATTCCTCCGGCATTCATCAAACTTATGTACAGTTCTAACTCATTTGCAGATATGTAACAGCAACTGTTAACGCCCAGTACATCACTCGAACAGATATCTAAAAATAAAAAAATAAACAAATATTAATAAGTATATTAATTTGTATCGATGTATAAAAGTAAAATAAATAAGAAAACATTGTAATATCACTATAGATAGGCAAAATATAAAATTAAGTTGATTTGATTAAAAAAATTCTCCTAATAAATTAAAAAAAAAATAAAAAGTTATTAAAATATACATATTATGTGTAAAATATGTCATAATTTCCAAGCTTTCCAAAAACTTTAATAGGAAAGAAAATAATGTGAAAAAAACTTACAATTTTTGAGAGATATCTGCGATGTTGAAGTCAGTTTAATGTCCTGTATCTACTGTAGAATAAACTAGTCATTTGTGAGCCTTTTCCCAGTTTAAATTATGTCAAAACTTCTTTGGTGTTTCTAATAATTCATCCAAGTTGTTATAACAGCTGCCATTCTACATTTCCACCAATAGATATGCTTGTATAATACATAAATAAATAAAACTTGATGTCCAAGATACCAATAACATCTATAAAAAAAATAAAAGTTGTGATAAGTATTTACGTTTTGTAACTAGATGAAAAAAATTACCTTAATACAGTTGCTCCAAATTTCCTTCAAAAAACTTCCGTTGCAGCCAACAAAATCCTCCTTCTTTCCTCAAACATCTTCTATCTCCTTTCCTTCTATTTCAAAGCAATCCTCTTCCATCTTCTCAGGCCTCTTCTATTTACCAAGTCTCACCAATTCTTATTCAACTACTTATAGAACTAACTTATACAAATTTCAGGCGTCTTACAAACATTTTTTAAAAAGGGGGAAAAGGGATATAATTCTACAACAAACGACTACGCTAGCGCACCTACCTAAAAAAAACTTTTTTTAGTCAAAGAAAATGATAAATATAAAGTTATATAAATTTACCTGATGGCATCTAGAAGATGGCCCTAATCCTGCTGTTGTCCCCCAAAAAAATTCATTCCAAAGTAGTTTACTACTAAAAAGATTTATGCAGAAACAAACTGAATTTAATTTTAGTAACAAAAATAAATTACTAATACTTTAATTCTCATTATAATGTAAAATTACATCATTTACTAATTTACACGTTTAATTAAAAAGCACTATTAAAAAAATTAAATAATATTATGAATTTTAAAATAAGACGAAAAATAGTTATTTCCAAATATATAATAGAAAAACAATATGCTACCTAATTTTGACTCTTTGGAGTTATTTTTTTATAACCATTATTGCTAAAAAACTTTATATTAAAGCCTTGTATATAGTAAGAAAAAAAGTAAAAATAAAATATAAAAATTGCAAATTAAAAAATGAGTACTTAATGCCACATTCTGTAAATGTAGGGAACCTAAAGTTACTGCTTTGGAACCACGACGCGAACCGACTTTTGAAGTTCTCCAAGCTGTATCACCTGTAAGAGAAAAAAAAATATATTAGAATATTTCTAACAAATACATATGCTAGAAAAAACAAAAAACAAGCTATAGACAACAAAAAAAAAACAATGTAAAATATTAAAACTCACCATCACATCTTGCTTAAGTTCATTTTCAGTCCCACCATAATAATTATACGGCGAAAAAAACAGTGGCGTCTCACTGCTATAGAGCACATCGAATGCCCCCAACTCCATGGACTTCTGTCGATCCTGTAGAGTTGACAATAAACACGTTTTCCAGGTATTCGACGGTGCCTGGAACAATCCGAATTTTTTTGGGACTGATCATATGCAGCATGTAGATAGAATTTCTAACTTCTTCAATCTTGTTTTTTAAAATCGCGCTGCGAACCCGGGTTGTCCTAAAAAAAATGAAAAAAAAGATTAGTTATATAAGTAACTACAAGTTAAATTAGAATTTAAACTTATATCTAAGTTTTAAAAAAGTTGCTCTAATTACTATACAAGTTATTCTACTTTAAATTGAAGCTCATGTATGTTGTAACAAAAAAAAATAAAATATACAACACTTATATAAAAAGAATTTTGATTGCTACATGGTGCGATAAAAAAGTTATTTGGTAGAGAGTACAGTAAAAATTTACAATTTAATGTAATATAAAAAAAATAGACTTACTTTTAACAGGTTTAAGTTAGGCCTGGTTATGCTCGCCTCCTATCGACATTTCCTGCCTTCAAAATTCGACGCGGGGCAGACCAAGAGAAAAAACAAAAAAATGTTTCCACGACCCGCCTGCGAGTGTGTGCTGGTTGCCTTCCTTATGCAGATTCGACCCATTGGTCGACGATTAAGCCTCACCAGTCAGTTCCCATCCCAATTAAGCCGCCTCGTCTGGGGTCACCCTCGTCACCCGTCGGACGGACATCCACCGGGACCCCCTACAGGCGGACCCCCTCATCATCTTCAATGTGTCCGATATCCCGCCCCCTGCCTCTTCAGGGTCACGGAATACGTGCACGAAGAAGTCTCGGAGCTTGGGTGCCAGGTCGTATCCGGCCGAAGCCTCTAGCATTAGAACACCTAGCTCGTAAACCAGAGGGTGGTGACTCCCTTGGGTACCTCTGCATGCTACACAGGTCATCGATGCCCGAACATCAGAGTTAGGGGATGACCCAAAAAGTCTCCTCTCTTGGGGAAGGCCGCGCCGCGCTCTGGAGTCATCTTAAGCCCGGGAATCCACACCGACAAAAACACTGTTAACCAACTGCATCAGCTAACGAAATTCACTAATTTTGAATTAGGAAATTTTATTAACCAACACAGAGAGCTAGCAATGCTCGTGTGAGTGGAGAAGGAGTGTGCGGTGTAGTATTAATATAACGCGCCTACAAAAAGAAAAAATATTGGGATACCTATCAAAATATTATCGAACACCTATAAAAATATTACGACAATATATAAATAGGTATATTTATTTTAAATGAAAAAAGAGATTCTCCATTTATACCTCAGCAATATTTTATAAGATTTTTACTTGATTATTATACCAAAAATGTCAAAAATATAAAGATGTTATATGATCTAGGGAAAAAAGGGATATAAATTTGATGAATATGGTCAAAATCCAAAGAATTTTTCCATGATGTAACACATAAAAAAATTAAAATACACAAGAAGTTTTTAGAGTTGTAACATATTATTTAGAGCTAAAAGTTAAACCTACAGTGTTTCAAATAAATAAAAAATATTAAAGTTATATTTTTTTTAACAATGAGACATTTATATTTTATTGCATTTTTAACTTCTACTATGAAGACAAATAACATTCGATCAAAATTTACCTTAAAATAATCATACTTACTGTTTTCGAAATATTTTAATTTTTATAAAAATTCAGTAACGATTTATTTCTGCAATGCAAATTTACTACTAATACCGAATTGGCAAAAATCATTTGTCAACATTAATACTACATTTTAACATGTAATATTACATAACGCGCTTTAAAAGAGAAATATATTTTAAAATACCAATATCAGAAATCATTACAAAAATGCTGAAACATAAGTAAGATTTTTAAATAAAAAAATACGTAATAAAATTCCTAATGAACCTACCTATTTAAAACTTAAATACAAAAAACCTACTCATTCAAAATATTATTAAAATGCGCATATTATATTTTTAAAAAATAAAGAAAACTCTAAGTATACCCTATAAAAAGAAATTTAAAATAAAAATAGCAATTTACAAAAAATCAAGACATCGAATTCCAACAGGCGGCCATTTTATTTAAACATTCCTTGACCGAAAAAATTAAACAAAAAGTCAAAGATACATTACGTAATTTACCAAAAATGTGGTACTATTATTTTACCCTTATGTAACACGCAGTATAGAAAGTACCGAAAATACATAGTTTTACATACTTATTTATTAATCTACGTATATTATTTAAAAAATATTCTTAAAAATTAATAACTTAATGGGGAACATTGAGAAGAAGGCTGCCATGATGGATATTGCGAAATCCAAAAATTTTAAACTAAAATATTTCAAAAAATACATAAAATTACGGGTACTCACTTTTTCAGGAGGCTAAGCAGGGCACTAGTAACAGATTACGCATAAATTGTGTACACTAAATGCACTTTTTCGTCAGAAAATTTAAAAAATCGATGCAACCGACGGGAGAACGTGCGGAACCTTCGATTGCAAACGACCAAATCAGGACCGGCGTTGCCAGATTGAAGTCATTCGTAAAATTTAAGCTGCTCATAAAATTAATTTATTACTAATAATAATATGTAATATTATTTATAGGAAAATTCTTGTAAATTAAGCTTAACTTTGTTCTCAAAAGTTATTATTTACTCAATACGTTCCACTGAAATCGTTTTATTACGCAAGGCAAAATATTTTTATTGTCATAAATAAGAAACAAATAAGTAATTATAAACATACACACAAAAATCATGAAATAAACATAAAATGAAGCTGTTTAAATACATTTTTAATGCTATAAATACATCGAAACCAAGAATAAAGACTATAATGTTAGTACGTAATTACAAGAAGAAATAAAAGAAATTTCTACAAAACAACATTACTGGTACTTTTTTACTAAAAATATAAATATGGAAATAACCCTTACTATAGTGCCAGTTTATGGTGCCAGTGATTAATTTAAACTAATATCATTTCACAAAAATCACATAGAGAAAAGATTTTCGACATTTTTTAACAATCCGGCAACATCGAAGGATAATAAAATTCAAAACCTCCAGGCAACCGAAACTGACCAATCACGATCGAGAATTTTTTGCTCTTGGATGCCTCGATTTTAACTTTTTTTAATAAACATGGATGGTTCTTATTAAAATTTCAGTAGAATATGCTTCTTAAATTAATTAAATAATTTGTCTTTATTTGTATTTATTCCCTCCAGTATAAAATATCATACAAAACTTATTTTATATTGAAATTATCTGGTACGCACATAATTAGATGAACTACCTATAAAATCATGCATTTCTTTAATATTTTAATAAATTATTAAGAAACAAGTGTTCTTATTCAATAAATATCCCTTAGTTTAATAAAAAAACTAATTTTATATAGTTAAATAGTAAGAAATATGAGATAAATTATATGAATTATATAAAAAAATAACTTCACAAGTCTTTAACTTGACTCGATGTTGACAGCTCTTACCGGATGTATCTGTTCAACTTTTGACGCCACATTTTTCAAATTTGAAATTTAATTAAGCTGAAAAATCCTTTATTTACAAGAAAAAATATATTAATAAGTACAAATTATGATCGAAAAAACGGCGTCCAGTTGGCTGGGAAATGACGATTGAGTACATTTCCCATAAATTTACATATAAAATGACAGCGATCTTCATTTCATAATCGTCGCTGACGCTATTTTTTTTTTCGATCATATAGTACCAAGATATAGTACGGTATTATTTATATTATTATTTTAATATTTCGCACAACACGTGAACGGTTATTATGTATTTTCATAGTCAATAAAATTAAATAGAAATAAAACTCTAGATTCCTACAATTAATCTAATTGCTTAGATTATTTGTGTTATTATGCTACGTTTAAAAAGTGCTTTATTAAAAATTCGGAAAATTAAACGGGATATGTGTCCAAGTTTCTTCTTTTTTTAATTTTTAAATGCTGTAGCTCCATATCATGTTCATAATAAGTTTTTCTTAACATTCCATTAAAACTACGGAGGCCTTAAAATGGCCTTTTAACCTCCGTAATTAAAACTGTAGAATCACCTTCAGCAACATTAACAGTTACCTTGTTAAGATTTTTCTATTCTTACACCTAATTTATGCCATTTTTTTAGCATATATGATTTATAAACCATATTTTTCCTAATAGAAGGATGGAAGGATATGCAAGATTAATATATTCTAACATTTATTTTCCAGACAAAGCATAATATAGTATTAAGATTAAGACATAATTAATGTTAAGAAAGATCTTAATATAAATCACAAACTCACGTCTTAAGTTAGTCTAGTAAACAGGTATAAAACTAATAAGATCAAAACTCAACCTTCACCATATTGGCAAGATTTGGCATTATAGGAAACAAGAAATTACAGTAAATTACGAAAAGAATATCAAAGTACACGATATTAAATACTGTAATGTATTTTATGACACAAACCATGTCCCTTATAAAGAGAAAAAGATAAAAAAAAATTCAACTGCAAATAATTCGAAAATAAACTGAAATTTGGCAACATCGACGATGTGCGCTTGCGTAGTATCGATGGTATCGATGATCAAATGCAGCAAATATGGGCTTCAAGGTCAGCCACCGGATCTACTACCTGTTTATTATTATATACAGGGAACTCAAAAAAGTTCATAGTATGTATTCTATTCGAGAATTTCATGCTTTTTTTTAAATATAGAGGAAATATTTGATGTGAAAATTCTCATTGGCCATTGCTACCAAACCCATAGTCAAGGCAAAGCAAAGGAAGATTACAGATAGTTCAAAACGATCATAAATTCTATTTGTTTTTGTTTAGATTTTAGTAGTTCAAACAGCCCCAGATAACCTCAAAATATGTGATAACAGTGTTTACTTTTAAGATAATTTTTTATTTTTTATATTTTATTTTCACCAGAATAATTCACTAATCAAGTTTACTGATATCAAAAAGAACAAAAAACAACAAACAAACCAAAAGCAAACCATTCTTGGAGACAAAATGCGACTGTTAGGGTGCCTGATATTATTTATAGCTTTTACAGTTTCATATTCATGGAGATTTTTCCATAATGGTAGACTGAAGGGTGGTAATCTTGGAATTCCCCATCAGAAGGGAATAAAAGGAACATCCAGAAATTTTACTAGATGGTTTAAACAGACATTGGATCATTTTGATACAGAAAATGTAGCTACTTGGCAACAGGTATAATTGTTATACAATATTTGCTTGAGAACAGAGACTTGATACCATATCTATTTGAACTTACATATTTTAGAGGTATTACGTAAACGAAGACTTTGCAGATCAACAAAGAAAAGTGGCTTTTCTAATGATTGGAGGTGAAGGTGAAGCAACAGATGTGTGGATGACAAACGGTGCTTGGGTTGATTACGGCAAGAATATTAGTGCCGTTTTATTCCAACTTGAACACCGTTTCTATGGAAAAAGTCATCCTACGAAAGACTTAAGCGTGGAAAATTTAAAATATCTATCCAGTCAACAAGCCTTAGCCGATATAGCAACATTTATTGTATCAATTGGTGATGAATATAACTTAGATCCAGATGTAAATATAATTTATATAATTTTGGAGATTATAATAAGAATTTTTCAAAAATATTTCAGGTTAAATGGATAGTTTTTGGTGGTTCTTATCCCGGTTCCCTGGCAGCCTGGGCCAGATTGAAATACCCCCATTTAATTTACGGTGCCGTAAGTTCAAGTGGACCTTTGTTAGCTGTTGATGACTTTGAAGGTTTTTATTTTAAAATTTTGTCCAACTAAATAGTTATTTAACTATTTCACAGATTATTATCAAGTTGTTAATGATGACTTAAGATCTATCAGTGAAGAATGTTATACAGCCGTTAAAAAGGGCACAGCTGAAATAGATGTTCTTTTACAACATATGGTTGGCCAAAGAACACTGACTAAACTGTTTCAGTTATGTGATCCCTTAGAAAAAAGTATCAATAATGAAAACGATGTTTCAAATTTCTATGAAAATTTGGCTTCAAATTTTGCTGGTAATTTGTTATTTTACTTACACTTACTGTTAATTTAGCCCTATTTTCATGAATTTTTTAACAAACTGTATATGAACTTTAATTTGCAAACTCAGTTTTTTTATATTTTATTATTATTAAGCATTAATTATACTTGAGTATTTGGCTTATTATACAGGTTTAATCGAAGGGTTGTTTTACCCTAACATTAAAACACCCTGTGCAATAATTTCCATAATAGTCACCTAAGCCACCTCGTCATATTACAAAATAACATCAAAAAGTAATGATAATTGAAAAAGTGGCAAGTTCATTCCACTCTTAAAAATTAAGCAAGGCATTTGTTGACACAAGACAAACAAGAAAATGTTCAAAAGACATGGTTCTGACCAAAAAATTCAGGAAAATTTGCTAACGAAATTATTGCACAGGGTGTTTTAGAGTTAAAGTAAAAGGAAAAAACAACCCCCTTCGATTAACCCTGAATAATAACTCAAATACTAAAGTTTATTAATGAAAGTAGATACATGTATACAGTTTGCTAAAGAATCATGCTGAATAGGGTTAAAATTAAAAAAAATTAATACTTTTAACAAAATAATAAAGTTGCATTTTTTTTGCATCTGAAGGTACTTATATTTGATTTGTTTGAAGGTATAGCACAATATAATAAAGACAACAGATTGAGTACAAAAGGTACAGCATTAGGCAATATCACGTTAGACACTGTTTGTGATATTATGACAAACACATCTCTTCAATCAGAGATAACTCGATTGGCTACTTTTAATTCCCTTTTACTTAATGCCACAAATCAAACTTGTCTGGATTTTAAGTATTCGAAGATGATTGGTGAACTGCGCAATATCAGCTGGGATAGTTCACAGGCAGAAGGAGGTAAAAAAATACCTATAAAATTAAAATGTACAGGGTTACCTGGGCTTCCTAAAAAGCTCTATATTAGGATTTTGGTTTGTTATTTTCGTTTTAATTTCTGTTACGTAATGTGGAGGCAATGGTAAAGCACATTTTGAAAATATTTTTGTCAATTTATAGGGTGGTTCAAACATATTTTCAAACTAAAGTTGTATATTTTTAAATGGAATACTACAGTATATCCCCGGATTGTCTTTACAAGAGGGAAAACTTCTTTATTATTGATATTTAAAAAAAAATGCATCCTTCATGAAAATTTTTGCTTGTTCTAAATTGGTTTGGTTGGTTTTGTAATCCTAAAAATAAAAAGGCCTTTCTATGGTAATATAATTTCGTTTTCATTCTTTGATAGATTGTTGTTGATAGAATTTTAATTAACGTGATATTTTTTGCTGTTCCAACCAAAAGGAGAAAATTCAAACAAATTTTCATGTTTTTTCTGATTTTCTCTAAAACGCTATGGAAATTGGGAAAGTATAAACGAGATTAACCATTTTAGAACAAGCAAAAATGTTTATGAAGAATGCATTTTTCTCAAAATACCAATATAAAAACGTTTTTCCTCTTGTAAAGACAATCCAGGAACATACTTTTTTTTGCTATTAAATTTCCATTCTAAAAATACTACAATGTCATATATTATACCGAGTGGTTTTTGAAACGGTTTTAGTTTCTAAATTAAATTTACTGCTTATTTAAAGCCCTCTCAAAATTCTGAATTCGAAGAATTTTAAATTTTTTTTAACCGGAGATACTATATAATAGTGTCTTTTTTAAAATTCAGCTACCAATATTAGCAATCTTTTTTTATATATACAAGGTGGGTCCAATCTAAATAGATCACCCTGTATTTTGAACATAATCGAAGTTTTGTTTAATCTTTTTGTTTTATTAAATACTTCCTACACCTAAAATCTATGATTAATGAGAAAATGTGTTTTTTTTGAAAATAAAAGACAGGATTTGACAGTGTTCCATTTAAAATAGTGGAGAAAAATACAACGTTTAGTTTTGACTCGCCCTGTATATATCAAACAAGATTGCAAATTTTGGTGGACTGAACTTTGAAGACGACACTATTATACAGTATCTCCTATTAAACAAATTTAAAGTTCTTTGAATTTAAAATTTTGAGAAGTCTTTAATAGGCGGTAAATTTAGATTAAAACGGTTATATTTCAAAAACCACTCGGTATAGTATATGATATTATGGTATTTTTGGAACGGAAATTCAATGGCAAATCTACTGAAATAAAAAAATATACAGCATTCGATTTAAAAATATACAACTTTAGTTTGAAAATATATAATTGAACCACCCTGTACGTTGAAAAAATAAATTTCAAAATTTGCGTTACCATTGCCCTCACATTACGTAAAAAAATTTAAAAAAAATCACAAACCAAAAACCTGGTATACAGTATGTCTCCGGATTGTCTTTACAGGAGGAAAAACTTTTTATTACTGACATTTTGAGAAAAAAGCATTCTTCATAAAAATTTTTGCTTGTTCTAAAATGGTTAATCCCGTTAATACTTTTCCAATTTTCCCATACCGTTTTTGAGAAAATTTAAAAAAACTGAAATAATGCTTGAATTTTGAAGTCTTAAAAATCAAAACGTGTTTCTATGGTAATATAATTATTATAATTTCGTTTTCATTCTTTGACAGATTTTTATTGATAGAATTGTGATAGAATTTTAATTAACGTCATATTTTTTGCTGTTTTATTAAAATGTTAAAGAAGCGCAAAATTTATTTAGTTCAGTGCTACGGAAAGGGTGATAATACTTATTGGAAAATTTGATACTTTAACAACAGCAAAACATATCATGTTAATCAAAATTAATTATAATCATCTATCAAAGAATGAAATCGAAATCATATTATCTTAGAAACGCCTTTTGATTTTTAGGAATTAGAAAAAAATTCAACCATAATTTCATGTTTTTTTTTAAATTTTCTCTAAAATGGTATGGAAATTTGGAAAAATATAAACGGAATTAACCATTTTAGAAGAAGCTAAGCTTTTTATGAAGAATGCATTGTTCTTAATATATCAGTAATAAAAAAGTTTTTCCTCTTGTAAAGACAATTCAGGGACATACTGTGAAGTTTTTTAGGAAGCCTGGGTTACCCTGTATAAGATCTTAATTTTCCTTCTTTTTCAGGAAGGCAGTGGACTTTCCAAACTTGTAACGAGTTTGGATTCTTCCAAACATCTGATAAAAAACCTCAGATTTTCGGCGATAAATTTCCATTAAAGTTCTTTGTTCAACAATGTTCTGACATTTTCGGTTCCCAGTTTGATGGAGATTATTTAAGTAGGGCTATTAAGGCCACAAATATAAATTACGGAGCTTTGAATATTGAGGTATAATGGATAGTTAGTGTGAATAAGAATCCTTTTAAAATTGTATGTGTTTTATAGGTGTCAAATGTTGTGTTTGTTCATGGTTCTGTAGATCCATGGCATAAGCTTGGTATACTAAAAGTTTTGAGTAAGTCGACGCCGGCCATTTATATTCCAGGTAAAAATAATTTCGGTTTGTAAGGGTTTATTTAATAACTTTTGAGGCCCAATATTCCAAAAAAGTTCCATATCACTTTTCCTGTTTCAGATTGTGCATAACTTAAAATTATCAAGGTAGTAGTTTCAAGTAATAATATGAATTAATATATAACTACCTAACTCTTGCTATATTCAGGGGAAGTCAAAACTATATTTCATATCAATTAAACTTTTAGTTAAGTAATTGAGGGCGCGATTTTTAAATTCATTGTTGCCAACCATGGACATATTCGGCGCCGTGCCGACTAATTGGAATTTAAATTTCGCGCTGGAGATTCAGGTGGTAGCTCTGCTGTAAAAAATGTCAAGTTGCTGCATTTATTTATTTATTTCCTGACATTGTCATTCGTTTTGACACTTCAGTTTTGTATTACGAGTTTTTGGTTTAAATAAATAGTTACATACTTTAAGCTTGAAAATGTTTCCTAGCAGACCTTGCAGTCGAACACCGTTCTTTTCAGAACCTCTTTTAGTGCGAAGTGTACAAGATTTAGAATGAATTTAGAATTTAGAATGAGTGGGAGGGAATGATGGGGGGAAAAATGAATGAGTGGGGGGAAAAAATACCGAAAGTGTCATTGAAATACCAAAAGTTGTAGTCATTTCCGGTGAAACAGGAAGTTACCGAAAACAATTGGACATACCAGTTCCAGACACTACTGTTGGCGACCGACGAAATCGCGACGGCTGGAGCTAAACACGTCGCTATGCGGTTACTACGGTTCGAGCTAACTTCAAGAGCGATTATAAATAATTTATTTGCAAATTATAAATAATTTATAATTTTGTCGTCATTATGATCGTCTTCTTCAATAACAGGTTCCTGATTCGTTGTGGAGCGCGACACGACGTTACAAAAAAATACCGCTCCAAAATCGCGTTACTCACATACCGACACATTACTACTTTATAGTGTTAGGAGTTTCACTAAACATTTTTCAGGTACCGCCCATTGCGCCAATATGTATCCAGCCTCGGACAACGACCTACCGGATTTGAAAGCTGCCAGGGCTGAGATTGAGTTTCACATAAACAAATGGCTGAATTTTGGTTATAAAATTTAAATTGTATTTTAAATAAATTAAATTACGTTATGTTAAATATAAAAAGACTGTTGAATCTCATGTTCTGATTTTTTATTGAAAATAAAATAACAAACAGATTATAATAATAAAATTGATTCTTAAATATAACGATATACCGTTTTTAGTTGTAACTAAAAAAGCCAACCTTAAAATTAAATCGTGCATATTTAACAGTTAGAGATGGGCGTTTACCTGTCTAGTTCCTTTTTTTACGTTATGGTGTAAAATACGCGTAAAAAACTTACCCATCATACATTTTTTATTGTTTCTGCCTAAATTTTCATTTCTAATAAATGAAAATATATACAGCGTGTCCCAGGAATAAGTGCAAATATTATAAGGGATGGTAGATCTCGATAATAGAAACATATTTTCTCTTTATCGTTTTTCAAATAAGTCCAAAATAACGGAGTTATCTTACTTTGAAAATTTTCAAAAAAAAAAAATGATTTGCTAAAATTTTGAGAACCACTGGATCTTTTTTGGATTTTCTTTCTTGTAAATTTAATCTAATACCTATGTTGCCATATCAAGAAATTATGTTTTTTAACTAAAAACTAAAAAAAATTCCAAAAAATTTCGAATTTTCAAAATACTACCACTTAAAATACTTGCACTTATTTCTGGGACACCCTGTATTTTCTGCATAGGTCATTAACAGTTAACAGCGTTTTCGAAGCAGCTTTACTAATTCGCGGACCTAGATTTTTTAAGCTGGTATAAATAAAAAAAATCTACCCCGTAAAAAATACATTTTTACGCGTAAAAAACTAGCTTTTACGATAACGTTTTTTAATCACCCATCCCTGATATTTAATATGTAGTTTCTTTGACCAGAAAATTTCAAATCTTACTGAACTTCCGGTTCTATATATTAATATAATACATACAGTAGGATTTGGGTATTTGACATGTGACCTTGATATTATTAGTTAAAATTCTTACAAATAAATATGCCACCTTAAACAAAGTATACCTTAACTGAATATAATACATCTAAGAAATAGCCCCAATTTGTATATTCTTATTTAATAATATTGACAACATCTTCAAGGTTACACGACAAACGCTCAAATCCGACTTTAGATATATTTTTATAATGTATGTAATAATAAGCCTAAGTCTCACTAATAAAAAACCACAGAAATGCACTATTATTTTTTTGGAAACTAAATAAAAAAAAACGTAGATGTGACAGTAAAAATAGTATATTGTTTTATTAGGAGTAAAAATTACACTTTGTGGCGATGTTGTACGTTTGACATACAGCTGAGGCACAAAAAACATTTTAACTCCATTAATAAAACATGCTATTTTTTTTCAAATATCACAAATAATTTTTTAAATAATTTTAAACGTTCCAAATAATATAAAAAGATATAACAGTAATACCTTGCAAGTAATAATATATCGAGAAACTATGGTTACACTCGTTGAATTTGACACTATGTCAATTTAATAATATATTTTCGTACTTTTATGCTTAGGCGTAAAACTGCTTTACTTTTATTCCTAGGCGTTAAAATGACTTTTTTGTATTGACAATCACGTCGCAAAAATTTACACTTTTTTGACGTTTGAAAAAAAAAGTATATTATGAATATGTCACTACCTTCAAAGGGGCAGTAGCATAGGTATCAATCAAAATTTTACATCATTCAGCTAGCTTTGATTGTTGACAGATAACTAATTTTAATGCAATTCCTCAAAAGAATTATTTAGCTGTCATTATCGAAAGCCTTTTTGATCATTAAACTTTTTTACTACACTGTATGTGTAATATATATTTTAAATATGTATAACCCTAAACCTTTGAATAAGAAGACTAAGGAAGGAGCATATCAAAAATCTTAGGTACACCGCGATGGGCCTCAAATATGGCCGACTTAAATTCCGGTTTATCAGTGTCGTTCTAATTTTATTTAAAAAATGTAAAACTATGATGTAGGGTAGACGTGGTGTAGACTCAATAATTTGTTGTTTTATTTTACGTTGTGAATAAATGTTGGTAATTATTAAAATTGTTATAAAAATATATAATTCTAATAATAATAGATAAGTTATAAGTATTTATTAACACAAACATCCCATACGCTACTGAAGCAGGTAAGTCAAATTAACGTATCTAAATTCTTTGACAAGTAATAAATAAAAGCTAAAATGCAAGAAAAATATATAATTTAGTTAATTTAAGTGAATTTCATAAATGATCGGTTTACTACACGTATGTATATTATATAGTCACTTACTACCGAAAAGTTGTTCCATTATTTCACTCAATTTTTGCCGAGATCTACCGCACGCTACACAACCAACTATTTTAGAGTCTTTTTCGATAAATCGCGATAGTGTCACTGTTAATTTAAGTACTGCCACAATTTCCATCTAGATTTACTACCTTTATACAACTATCAGTAGTAGAATAAATATTAAATAACATAAAATAAGCTCCGTAAAGACTGACAAATCCACAAAATTTCAAATCAAATTCAAATGTGTCAAATGAATTGTTAAACAGAACTGTCAAGGATCCCCACCCTAGAGTGCTTTTTCCGTCCACCATGCATAAATACATGGATAGCATTATGCTCCTTCCTTAGTCTTCTTATTCAAAGCCCTAAACAAACGTAAAAAATTACAAAAAAAAACGCAAGTAAATCAAAATAAAATCTGGTATTAACAGTGGGACAATGGTTTGAATGAGCATTTCTGTGGTAAACTAAAATAATATCGATAGAATGTTACCGACTGTTTTTACGTCATGCTGCCATACTTGTGGCCGGACGACCAATCCTGAGACTCTGAAGAGGTGGAGGGCTGACTGAAAGCGTTCGCTATCGAGTCTTTTAACCTGTCTTTAAAGGTCTTGTACTCCATGTCCGAGTATTGTTTGCCAAAGTCGAAGTTGGCCACTTCCACAATAATCCTATAAAATATATTTATATACTCTAACTTACCCAAACATTTTTTTATTACTAAATTTGAACAAATACTAAAACAGCGATATACAGGGTGTTTCAAAACAAATGCGAAAAACTTCAGGGGGTGATTCCTTGTTAAAAATAAAGGGTAGTTTGCTTTATAAACGTTGGGTCAAAAGTCAACCATTAGGGAGATATTACCCCGCCACGTACAAAGATGGCGGAAAAATAATGTTTTTATGTTTTATCTTGAAAACGAAAAGAGATAGACTAATGAAATTTTATGGTAGCATTACTGTTACGAAAACACGCTTTCTGGTATTTTTTCACCTTTTTAAAACGAGTGGAAGGGGTTGAAATAAACTACCCGTATCATTCTTGGTAACGAAATTTAAAGAAAAATCTTATCAAACACATGCAAAAAAAAATAATTTGGATAGTTTAGTTTGTATAGAAACTTTTTTATCTCTTGTGTTTTTTTGATAAAACTTACCGATTTGAAATTAAAAAATAAAATGTAAAGCATTACATGTCAGAACAAAAAAAACATTTTTAGATAAAGAACAAAGATTTCGGAATAATTAATTGATCGTAAGCTAATAACGTATTGCAGTAGAGTAATGTCAAATAAAATAATATTAGAAACATCCTAAAAAGTAACAGCGGCCGACTAGATTTTTTCCTAAAAAAATTACAGCAGCCCATTAGATTTTTTATCTGAATTTTTTTTGTCCTGACATGTAATGCTTTACATTTTATTTTTTAATTTCAAATCGGTGAGTTTTATCAAAAAAACACAAGAGATAAACAAAGTTTCTAAACAAGCTAAACTATCCAAATTAATTTTTTTGTATGTGTTTGATAAGATTTTTCTTTAAATTTCGTTAACAAGAATTATAGGGGTAGTTTATTGCAACCCCTTCCACTCATTTTAAAAAAGTGAAAAAATTTTCAGAAAGTGTGTTTTCATAGCAGTAATGCTTCCATAAAATTTCATTAGTCTATCGCTTTTCGTTCTCAAGATAAAAATAAAAACATTATTTTTCCGCCATCTTTGTACCGCGATATCTCCCTAATGGTTCACTTTCGACCCAACGTTTATAAAGCAAACTACCCTTTATTTTAAACAAGGAATCACCCCCTGAAGTTTTTCGCATTTGTTTTGAAACACCCTGTATATAATAATATTTTAATTTATTTGGGATGCCTGGTAACTTGTGAAAATAGTTTTAATAAACTAAAAAAATTGTAGCTTTAATGTTCAGCGACACCAAAATTCACAATTTCTAAAAATCCAATAATTTAATTACAATTAGGGTTTCCAAACAGGAATCCCGGTGCATGTTTATCCACGAAATCCCGATATTCAATCCCGGAATTCCGAAAATTTCCAAAATTTAAATGCCCAATATAAAATGATTCGACTTTATACACTTTAGTCTTTCAAAGATTATATTTTATTTATACTAAGCGGAACGTTAATATTGTCAAGGTGTAATGTTCCCAACATAATTATCTATTGTTTCTGTCAAAAATGCATTTCTAGAAGCTTAGCAGACTATTCCAATATTTTGAAACGTTTAGACTGAACTAACAAAAGTGACTTATCATAATGAATACAGGATGTTTCTACAACTTGGACAAGTGACACAATCACCCTGTATACTTTACCTTGAACGATTCTGTAGATAATAAGCAACACCAAATATTACTGTTACAATGGCTACTAGGCTGAAAACCACAGGAACTACAATAACTGATAATTGAGCTTGTTGTTTTACTGAAAAAAAATGCACGAACATAAATAAAGCGAATATTTCATTAACATATAAAAATATAAATTACTTTTTTTACCTTTTTATATATTTTCAATATTCTTACCTTTATATACAGTTACAGTAACTGAAGTTACTTTAATACTGACATCGTTTTTAATAATAATGAGCACGGTATGTTTTTCAGCACCATGAAAATAGCGTTCAATGTTAAAATTGCATTCATTCAAGTCATCATAGGTTTCGCACGTTTCATTCCCAGTAACATTATATATTCCTAAAGAAATAAAGAAAATCTTTATAATTTTTTACACTGCAAACAGATTTAACCGAACTAGTACCTGGTATGAATTTTAAGCAATACTTCAATTGTCCTGAGCCACTACATTTTACGTTTAGGTTCAGAAGCTGTTCGTGCTTCAACCAGTTTGTACCAGATACATTAACCTTAGTTATAGGAGCTGAAAAATGCGAGAATGATAAACTATAGTTTGTCTCGTGAGGGAATATATGATAGTGACAGTTGGCTGTCATTTGAATTCAAAGTCGTATGTGGAAAAAAATGTCTGTGGAAATCATTCGTTTCTCTCGCGGACAAAAAACTGGTTATATTACATCTAGTACATTTCATAAACGCTAAAATACCATATTTTTGACTCATTTGACTTAAACATTTTTTTATATATACAGTGTGGCTAAAGAGAGTCGAAACTGACCATTTGTTTCAAAACTAAATATCTGGTGTGTATGTGTAGGTTTATTTGGACCTGTTTTAAAATTATTTAGAACTCTACAGGGTGCTCCAGAAAAAAATATATACCTAGGGTAGGAATAAACACTAAAAAAGCAGGTGATTTCTTTATAAATCTTTAGGGAGTAACTTAAATACAGGGTGTCTCTTAAATAGGTGCATATATTTTTAGGGCTGGTAGATCTCCTTAAAAGAAACATATTTTCTCTTTACCGTTTTTCAAATAAGTTCAAAATAACCGAGTTATTTTACTTTGAAAATTTGCAAAAAATTGATTTTTTGCTTAAATTTTAAGAACTACTGTATGTTTCTGGGTTTTCATTCTTGTAAGTTTAATCTACTACCTATGTTGCCATATTATCATGAAATTATGTTTTTTAAAAAATTCCAAATTTTCAAGAAAACATTTTCTCGAAAAAAACTCATAATCGTGTTTCTGGGGTCGAAATATACTACCCCTAAAAATATTTGCACTTATTTAAGATTCATCCTATATAAATTTGTTCGATTTGACATTGCCATACAATGTCATTTGCTTGTACAGGGTGAACCAAAATCACAATATTGACATTTTTCAAATACAGCTCGCAATAAAAAAGGTACACAGGCACAATAACTTATTTTAAATGACAAGGAAAACTAACTTGTTTGACTTGATTGATTAAATTCGTAAAAAACGTATGCTTCAATCAACTCCTAAGTCATTCAAGTTTAAAAATTAAAAAAAAATATTTATTTTAAAAAAAATTTGAAAATCGCCGAATTTTTTCTGTATTTGCATCTCTTTTAGTGTCATTAACTATGGTAATATCAGAGATTAAGAAATTATACCGTGGGAAAATTTGCGGTGAACAGGCAGTTCTAAAATATACAGGAAAATTTAAAAGAAAATGCACGATTTTAAACATCTTTTTTGCGAAAAAAACCTCATACGCTCCTGGGGTCGAAATATACCACCCCTGAAAATATTTTTGTGTACTTATTTAAGACTCACCCTGTATATTATTACATTACGGTTTGTTGATGAACATGTTTGTGTAAAGTGAGATTGAAATGTATATTGTTATTTTTGTTCACCCCCTGTATAAGCAACTTAGTAGGAGGAAAACGCCAAAAATCTTTTATGAAAAAAGTCTTTCTTTAAATTTGACATAAAAAGTTATACAGGGTGAGACAAAATGACGATTTAGACAAACAATACAGTGTATAAATAGTATAACATGTAGTGCACTATCGCATCATTGTGGAAATTTTTCAAAATTTAAAATTTTATAGGGTAAAATGATTTAAATATTAATAATATAAACATAATAATTATTTTATTATTAAAATATGTACCTAAATTTAATAGCAAATACTAACCTTTGGTTGTAACAGTTTTGGAAAAATAACCATAAACCTTTTTGTGATCTGTAACCACAAAAGTACTATTGCAAACATATGGAAATGTACCATTGTATGGCACCAACGTTCCATTTTGCCATATCCTTATAGTTGAGCTATTATTTGTTCCAACTAATGTAGGCGCTGGACTCGTAAGAATTTCTCGTTTATGTCTAACTGTAGACTTAACGGAAGTTTTAGGGATGATGGTAGTGCCCTGGTGAAGTAAGTAAACTTTAATAAATTGAACACAAAATTATGTAATCGCAAAACAATTCCCGATGCACGTGATCAACTTTGAGTGACAAGCGATGGCTACAGCGCTGCCAGATTGTGATGGATTTATGAGATGAATCTTAATTTAAAATTGACAAACAATATATTTATTATACCATTGTTTAAAGAGTTTTACGTTTTATTTTTAATTTAATAACTAATAGTTTAGTGATTAATTGATTTATTTGTTTTATAGCTTATTTTACTTATTACATATTGGCAAAAACTAGTCCATTATGAAGATTATTATAAGCGTTATTATGGGTTATTTATTTATTGATGTACAACTTACAACGCCATAACTTGTAATAACAAGTAAGAGGGTCCTGTTAATGCACAAACTAATAATCACAGAACTTAATAAAAACTAACTTTCAAAGTGGTATAATGTGCTTATCAATCAAACTTATTTTTCTGACTGCAGTCAACGGTAATAAAGGACTTTTATTGTCACGCTCTCGTTCAAAATTTAAAAAAAAAACAGGGAAGCTGCAAGCTCTTTGCTTCATTGTTTCGTCATCTTCCACACAGAGTCGGCATTCGGCGTCTTCCACCAGTCCCATCCTCTGTAGGTGTGATCTCAGCCGGCAGTGGACCATACACACTGCAGTGAGTGTACGCGCTCCATTCCTACCAGCCTTTAGGAGTTCTCCTGTTCTATGTTTGGATGGCCCTGCTAGGATTTTCTTGGCATGTTCCATTCCGGGACTGTCATTCCAGTCCCGGAACGTCGCCCACCTAACCCATTCACAGAGCCTGTCTCTTGCGAGATTTTTTGGAACGCTAAGTGTCGGTTCTGGGCCCACGAATGGCGAGCCTGCACCAATTTTGGCGAGGGAATCAGCACGTTCATTTCCCTCTAGGCCGACATTTCCCGGTATCCATATTAGCGACACTTTGTTCCTATCTCCTAATATATTGAGTAGTTTCTTACAATGAAGAATCGTCATAGACGTGCTTTTCGTTACCTCAAGTGCTTTCAGCGCGGCTTGACTATCCGAAAATATGCATATTGTTTTCCCAGTGTATTGCTGTTCTACCAGCAGTTGCACACAGGTTTCAATAGCATATAGCTCAGCTTGGAAAATTGTGGTGTGTTTTCCAAGACTGTGGTAGATCTCAGTCTTGGACTGCTGCAGTAAATTCCTGCGCCAGATCCTTTTTCGTTTTTGGATCCGTCCGTGTACCAACACATTTCCGCATTTAATAAACCTTCCGCATTTAATAAACCGTTTCCCGACTTATCCCATTCGTCCCTATTCGGAAACAGGACGTTGTAGGTGCGTGTCAAGAGTTGGACTGGTGGTGTGAGATCCGAAACCATTCCCAGAATCTCATCCGACTGTAGTTCGTCTACTAGCCGGTTTTGTATGAACATGATTGTTCCTTGGCTTCCTCGTGCCATATTTAGAAACCTATATGTAGCCCATCTCGCCTCTCTTTCCAAAAGAATTTGAAGAGGAGGTAAGTCGAGTAGGGTTTTCATAGTTTTTGACGTGGAATGGAAGGCACCAGTCACCGCTAAGCATGCTTGTCGTTGTAGTTTCGACAATTTATTCTTTGCCGTTGTTTGGTTGGCTTTCTCCTACCAGGCAACTGCACCATACGTGATAATAGGTCTGATGGCCGTCACGTATAGCCAGTACATATTGTTGGGGTTTAATACCCCAAAGTTTGGAGTTTCTACCACAAATTCGGCGGCATGCCCATAGATCATAGCAAGCCTTTTTTGATGTTTTTTCCAGATGAGAGGTCCAGCTAATTTTTTTCTCCAGGTTTAATCCTAGATACTTAACCTCCTCCGCAAACGGAATTGTCTCACCAAGAAGAATGGACGGTTTCAGTTTGGCTGTTTTCCTTGTTCTGGTGAATGGTATGATCACGGTTTTCTGTGGGGTTACAATTGTTCCAGTGTGCACCAGCCGTGAATTGCATCTAGGACTTCCTGTATTTTTGAGGAGATGTCCTCCTCTTTGTGTCCCTTTACTAGGATTACCAGGTCGTCCGCATATGCTTGTGGTTCAACCTCGTATGCATCGATGATCGCCATCAGGTCATCCGCTAACAGGGTCCACAGAAGAGAGAGAACTCCTCCTTGCGGGCATTCTCTGCCCGGTACAAACCTAACAGACTCACCGCTGAGCGAGGTCATTGCTATTCGATTTTTGAGCATTTGCTCAATCCATTCAGTTATGGTTGCTTCGACTCCTCGTGCCTTTACAGCGCCTAGGAGCGATTGAGGGGTAACATTGTTGAATGCTCCCTCAATATCTAAGAATATCCCTACCGCAATTTCTTTGCGATCAAAGGTACTCTTAATGTGTACTTGACCCGCTGGGGTCAGGACCAGGTTTGAGATGTTTGGCAAACCCATGCTAGACCTATCAGACCTAGGAGACATATCACCCTCGGACATAACGGCCTATGTTAAAAGGCTGGGTCTTGAGGGTGAACTTTAACGCTCTTTGTATATTAGAGCTTGTAGAAACTGAGCCACAATAGGCCCTCGCGGCCGCAGTGGAGGGTCCCATGGGACCCACTCTTAGTCAATACAATATAAAAGCTCTTTGCTTCGACTGTTTAAATACTTCGGCATATTTTCAACACACAATTTCAAGAAATGCAATACAAAAACTCGGAAATTTAGTTCTTAAAAGAACCGTTTGTGCTTAAAAGTGCAATTTTCACAAAAAGATTCAACAACAACACAATATTATACAAAATAATGACTGACACTAGGATAATTGTCAAATAATAAAGGACAACATTGCTGAACACGGCGCATGTGACCAACATAGCGATAATAAAATTCGGTTTAAACTAATTTTTGCAGCTTTAACATAAATAAAATATCTCTTACAATCATTTGCTCTATAAAGTAAAATGAAGAGCTGCTCGGTATCTTAAATTATACAACAAATTTAAACATTTTTGCCAAACTTTCATTCAGTCAGGTTTATAGATTTTAGTGTCAATGTCGATATGATCGATGACGTGCATCGGAAAATGTTTTGCAAATACAATACTTACATTGGTAGGTTTAGGTTTGTGTGTAGTGGTTGTACTTGTTGTTGTAGTTACATTTGGGCTTGTAGTAGGCTTCTGTGTTGTAGTAGTTGTTGTAGGAGGTGGTAGTGGTGTAAAATCAGCCACTACCAAGGCTTCAATAACGTGCTGCTCATCGGGTTTGGTGAAATTATAATCAAACTGCAAATCGCTGGTAATTCCATAGTAAATGCAATCCACGAACCAATAGGAGAGTACAGTAGGCGCTTTTGATAAAAAGTTTTTATCTGATTCCTTCAATTCTACGGAACTTTGAAGGGGATCTTCTGAAGATATAAATTTATCTCTTTCTTTGTCGGATTGTGAAGATATTAACTTTCCATTTAATGTGTCTAAAAAGTAATTATGTTACTTATTAACATGATGATCCGAAAAAGATCCATATCAGATTTACTATTTGAAGTTTTCACCTCCAATATACACTTCCCCAATAAATTAACGCACCACAAAAAAATAACCAAAAGTTTAAGTCAAGTTTTTGTCAAAACCACTTATCCGATTTGGACGATTTTTTTTTGAACGATAGGTTATTCTTTCCACAATGTTGCTATACTAACTGTATTTTGATAGGAACCCTTTTTATACTAATACCGGGTGTAGCAATTATAACGTGTTTTTTTAATAAAATTTGTGACACCCTGTAGAGTTGATCAGTTACAGTATCAAGTTAAAATTGAAATCACATTTTAGCCTTATCTTTTTTTACATTTTGTTTTTTTTATTTACTCCATTATCTTTCTTATTACACGAGAAACAACATTTTATAGGATGACATGATTTAATATTGGTTCTAATTAACATTTTTCCATTTTACTCACTAAAGTAAGTAGCAGGCTATGGAAATACATGGATTACCAGTAAATGTCAAATAGAGATGCTAGTTTCTGTGCAAACTTGTAGACCATTAGTATCGAGCTGTGTTTGAAGGGTCCGAGCTGTTACGAAACGTTGTCTTAATGTTGAGAGTTTGAAAAAACGTTTCTGAATCGGATTGGTTCTTCGATTCCTGCCTTGTCCCGGCCTGCGACAATTACTCCCAGTATCTCTATACCGTTGTATAACTCGTGAAATGGTTGAGTGAGTTACATTAAATCGTTTACAAATTCTTCGGTAGCTCCAACCTTCCTCAGACAATATTAATGCTTGAGCACATTCTTCGCCAGTAAGATTTCTTGTTTCACGTGCACGTTGCATATTTTTGATATAATAAAAGGACGAAAACGACTGACACTGACAAAAGCATCTCTATTTGATATTTACTGGTAATCCGTGTTTTTCCATAGCCTGGTACTTACTTTAGTGAGTAAAATGGACAAATGTTAATTAAAACCACTATTAAATCATGTCATCCTATAAAATGTTGTTTCTCGTGTAATAAGGAAGATAATGGAGTAAATAAAAAAACAAAATGTAAAAAAAAGATAAGGCTAAAATGTGATTTCAATTTTAACTTGATGTTGTAACTGATCAACTCTACAGGGTGTCACAAATTTTATTAAAAAAACACGTTATAATTGCTACACCCGGTATTAGTATAAAAAGGGGTTCCTATCAAAATACAGTTAGTATAGCAACATTGTGGAAAGAATAACCTATCATTCAAAAAAAAAATCGTCCAAATCGGATAAGTGGTTTTGACAAAAACTTAACTTAAAACTTTTGGTTATTTTTTTGTGGTGCGTTAATTTATTGGGGAAGTGTATTTTGTAAAGTATGCTGGCATTAGTAAACCCACAAAACTCTGAGATAAAACACCTTATAAAAATATTTTGATAGATATACAGGGTGGCGCACCTCAATCGCATCGGTTGATTATACGAAAACAGAAAGATGAAGAAACAAAATATTTTATGGGTACATGTATGTGGGGACGCAATGAGCACAATTTAAAATAATTTTGAAATATACAGGGTGTTTCAGAACTAAGATCCATAGCAAAGTTATATTTTTTCTTATGGAACACACCCGGTATTTTATTTCATTTTTGGATTCTTAGGCCTAAAAAGGGCACTTATTATAAGGGTTAAATAAGTTTAAAATCTTTGGTTTTTGAGATATTTAAAGATATTTAATCATGCATGCTATAGTAGAAAACATTATCAACACCCTGTACATTACTTTTCAGAATTAATTCTTGTGCTGAGTTTAATCTATAGTTTTTAGATACTGAAAAATTGTATTGCCTCCTTAAATTTATACGGTATTATCAAAAATTGCTGATCTATTTTAAATATTTATTTTACATAAAAACTTCGTTATTTCAAATGCAACACCCTCTATTTTTTAAAATAAATCGAAGCAGATTCAAATGCTCTTTCAAACTATATCAGGGTTTCCTATACCTATCTACCTCAGATTTTGAACAAAAGGTGATTTTTCAATACAATGACAATCAAGATGGCTGCTGTCGCCATGGCAATTTTCTAGTGACAGTTAGTAATTGTTTTCAAAATTGACATTACTTTATTGACTTTATTATTTACATTTATAGCAGTTTACTTAAATTTACCCACAGTAGTTTAATAACTAAGTATTCATTATTTTATCAAGAAAAATAAAGCAGTATCTGCTGGCGGAATGAATATGGATAGCAAATATGTTACTAATGATTTTATTTTGTGAGAAAAATTGCTTCTTGGCTTCAAGGGCTTAAGCTCCAAGATATCCAAATAGGAATCTTTCTGACAAGCGTTCTTTTGAAAAACTACTTGTCCCACTTTGCAGAGCTGGTATTGTGGTTTATAAATAATCTATTAGTGAGAAAATTGTCGTTGGAAGTGAAGAAAATGAATGTGCGGTAATTGGTTCATTTATGTAAAATCCATATAACTACTACGTTATACCCTTGTCTAATAATCAAGGGTTATACTAAGTCTAGTGAAAGAACAACGAAAAATCAAAGAATTACTTCTTTGTTTATGTTGATAAAATAATAAATACATATTTAATAATTATTTATTATTTTATCATTATATTTAATAAATGTTATTTATTAAACTATTGTAGGCAAATTGCGATATTTAAATAAAGTCCATAAACTAATTTCGATTCTGCGAATAGCTACTAACAGTCACTAGAAACTTGTCATGACGACACAAGCCTTCTGGGTTGATATTTTATTGAAAAATTGCTCTTTATTCTAAATCTGAGCTGGATAGGTATAGGAAACCCTAATATAGTTTTAAAGAACTGTATAATTTGTTTCAACTTATTTCAAAAAATACAGGTATTGCATTTGAAATAAGTTTTTATGTAAAATAAATATTTAAAATAGACCAACGATTCTTGATACCCCTGTATACATTAAACGAAGCAATCAAATTTTTCAGTAAAATTTATGTCTCTGGCATAAAATTCCGCAAAATAATTAATTCTGAAAAATAATGTACAGGGTGTTGATAATCTTTTTTATTATGGCATGCATATTTCAATATCTATATCTGAAAAACCAAAGCTTGTAAACATATTTAACCCTTATAATAAATGCCTTAAAAAATGGTCATATTTGAAAAACCCCTCAGCGCAGATTATAACAATATGGTAATTTTTGAATGGGCATTATTATATGGCAAATTGACTGAGAAAAAAGACATACACATTTCGTTTAAAAAAAATTGTGTAAAATGATGTCTGCATATTAAATTTTAAAAGCCTATTAATGAAATAAATACCTGTAATTTTAATAGTGATACCAACAGAACCTAGTGGTTTACAATATATACCAAGGAATTCCCATACACACACATCTAGTCGAGTTACATAAAGTCCAGGTAAATTAATTGAAGTATTGTATGTTACAAGCCATGAATCTGTGCTTGGTCCAGTATTTACCTACAAAAACAATATTAAGCGTGCTACCCCAATGTTTTGTAAAGTGTGCGTATAGTGTATGTACCTCCCTGGAATCGTGTGGTATAAAATCATTCACCCAATTATACCCAAATTTGCCATCATCTGGAACATTATCGTCATTGTATACAGTAACTGAGCAATTCGATGGGGCACCCCAAACTATAGGGCTATCGCATGTCAGATTTACTTGATACGCATTAACTAAAAATATTAAAAAAATAGTTACATATTAAGTCGGTATATTAATATCATAAGAGTTTACCAGTAGTGCAAAATATTAAAAATAACAATACACCATTCAACACGATCATTTTGCCAAAAAATAAAACAAAAACATAGAGCTGTCACTGTCAAACTGCCACTTTAAAAAGCAAAAGTGAGGTTGTGGCTGGTTGTGGTTTCAAAATATTCATGGACATTATAAAATGTAGATAGCGATTGATAATTTGATAGCGATGTGTGATTCACAAAAAATTACGCGTTTTGTTCAGAGCTTGTTCAGAGATATGGAAGGGACGCACTTGTTTCAAATATTTTCAGGATCAGTTCTGCAAAGAGTAGATAAGACTTATCTACTGTTTGGTTCAAGATCACGTACTCTGATGTATTCTATACTTAAATAAGTAAATATTTTTTGATTAAGGAAGCTTTTATTTAAACAAAAACAGAATACCTACACTAAAGAATGAATTCCCAGCCAATCTTTATCTTGGATAAAATGTAACAGAGTTTTGTCTGCGACTCTGAATTTAAAATGTTAAAATAAATACTCATATATAATTAGATGCTGACAAAAACAGATCATAAATTTAATATTCATTTTTATTTTCTATAAATCTAACTATTATACAGTATAGAATATATAATTACGACACTTTTTGGCCATACTGGTATATTTTAAAAACGGTAGTCAATGGTAAGTTATAACTGGTTGCATATTCTCCAGTTTTCCTTTGAATAAGAAGACTACCTCCAGTATTACAATAAAATTTTTCTGAAACTTTGTTGTGAAATTATTTTACGCTTATCTTGAATCTTTATATAAAAAGGGTTTATGTAATAGTTTATTTAGTAATTAGTACCAATCCCAATATATTGAATTGGAGCTTAAAAAATAAAATAAGCTAATAAAAGCTTAAAAATATATCTATTCTCAGCAGACGATCTTTGAATAATTTTCATCAGGATTTTTTTCTATATTTAATTCTTATATGAAGGAAATTATATACCTACTTTATTTAAAAATATTTTAAATGGAATACTTACTTACTTTAATTCAAATTTGATCCTTTTAATAACTTTGCCTAACTAATTAAAACTCCTTTTTAAAAAGAAGTTGAAAGACTTTAAGGGCTTTATGAATAAAAATAAAATACTTAAATATACTTTATTCTACAACTTTTTTAAATATGTACATTTTTTGAAGAAATTAAAAACTTGTTTTAAAACTATGTATATCCTTAAATAATTATATCCTAACGTGATATTTTTATTGTGGTGTTTATTGAAAACTTTTAAAACTCTTTCATCATTTTTGTTATAGAAAACATATAAATAGAATGTAAAAAATAAACGAATATAGCTTAAAAAAATCCTTAAAACTACCATACGGATAAAATAAAAAATAAACGAGAAATACAAAATAAGTATTAAAACTGTGCATCTGTAGTAAATTCACCATTTTCACTAGAATTGGAAATTACACCGACTTTTTGGTATTCCCCTACTTTTTTCTCAAAGAAATTGGTTTTTCCCTCAGTTGAAATAATGGTCATAAAATCAAATGGGTTGGTGACATTATAAATCTTGGCACAACCCAGCTCTGCTAACAATCTGTCGGCAACAAACTCAATATACTGGCACATAAGGTTGCAGTTCATGCCAATCAAACTGACTGGAAGAGCCTCTGATAAAAATTCTTGCTCGATCATCACTGCATCTTTAATGATATCAGTGACTCTTTGTTTTGAAGGTTTCTGAATGACATGAGAGAACAACAAACAGGCAAAATCACAATGAAGCCCTTCATCTCTTGAAATCAACTCATTTGAAAAAGTCAAACCTGGCATGAGACCTCTCTTTTTCAGCCAGAAAATGGCTGCAAAACTGCCAGAGAAAAATATTCCTTCAACGGCAGCAAAGGCAATTATTCTTTCGGCAAAGGTTGAAGTTTTAGAACTGATCCACTTCAATGCCCAGTCTGCTTTCTTACGAACACAGGGCAATGTTTCTATAGCATTAAATAGGAAATCTTTCTCTTGTGGATTACTTATGTACGTCTCTATAAGCATGCTGTACATTTCCGAATGAACATTTTCAATTGCAATTTGGAACCCGTAAAAGCACCTGGCTTCAGTAATTTGGACTTCCTGACTGAACCTTTCAACCAGGTTTTCATTGACAATGCCATCAGAAGCAGCGAAAAATGCCAGGACGTATGAAATGAAATGTTTTTCGTTATCATTAAGCTTGCTTCTCCAATGGTCCAGGTCTTTGCTTAGGTCTACTTCTTCAGTGGTCCAAAAGGAAGCTTCAGCCTCCTTGTATTTCGCCCAAACGTCAGGATATTGAATAGGGAATATTACAAAACGTCTAGGATTCTCTCTCAGTAAAGGTTCTAATTCTGGATCAAAATTTTCATAGCTATTTCCTTCTTGTATCGGTGTTTGGCAGTCTTGTCTCTTATCGTTCTGTATTATGTTGGATTTACTGGGAGAGATAACGATCTTATTTACGTTGGAAGACAATTTTAGGGCGTCGCCTTCGTTTTCTTTGTTGTACAGCGGCATAATGCTGTAAAAAGTATTCAGCATGAACAAGTTAACCTTATTAAGTAAAGCAAAGACATGGATACGAGAATATTAAAAAACAAACATATATTTTAACCATACCCAACCCCAAATCATCCCCAAATGAACCAAAATACAAAATAGCTAACGTGCCAATAACAAATCAACAAAAATTTAGTATTTAGATCTAAAATAAAAAGTACCAAACATACCTGCGTAATCTGCACTGGTTTCTGCGTAGTTTATATAATGAAATTATAAAATATAAGAAAGAAAAACCTAATTTTTGGAGCAAATAATACTGTTCGATGTCTCAAAAGATAGTTGTAAAAATACCGCCAAAACTTGACTTATATTCCTTAATAAGCCGGTATTTTCGTAAAACGAACAGAGGTAAATAATTAAATAATGTCAAAAAGTGTTTTTCTAACCTTTTCTAGTTGTTGCAGTTTTGTATACATCTTCGTCTGAATTTATTCAATTGACTTAGGAAACCATAAAACGAATACGGTTAATTTTGGCGGGAAACTATTTCCGTAAATAACTGTATTTGAACAATGAGTCATTAATTATTAAATATCTTTGTTTAATGCACTAGATTTATTGCAGTCTATTATTCCTGAATTTATTGCTAAATCAATTTGAAAAAATAGGTTCTTAGCCAAAGAGTGTGGAAAATAAATTAAAATTATTTTGTAATTAAATATAGATTTCATTTTCCTTGTAACTATATTATTAGTACACAGATGGCACTAAACAAACGAATTGTTTGCATCTTTGATAATAGGTGGCAGTTGCTATGTTTAACAAGTTTTTTAATAGATGGCGTACTAGTATAGCAGTAAATTGTTAGATGGCGCTGGGTCTGGCTACTAAAGGGACATCTATGGACACTAGGAAGAACTAGATTGAATTTAAATAAAAATAAAAAAATGGATCACAATCTAAAACTTGTATTACTAATTTAATGTCTACGTTCTTTAGTTAACATAAGGTGTTTTAAAAAATAGTTTTTTGCGTATATTGCGGAGTCTTTCTTGAAATTTATCACGAGATATTTCCAGCAACAAAATAATTAAAGATGCGAGAAATCCCATGGCTAGGAGAAAATAAGGTAGAAATAAATCGTTAACACCTACAGAAATAACGCGAGCACTTGACAGACATTCCGGTTTACTATCTACCCAGGTCTTGAGTAATTTGTTCAATAATCCTCGCTCCCATGCCTTTCGTAAACTGAAAATAATAAAACAGATATTAACTGAATTTGACTAGTATAATTTCTTTGAATAAAAATATTAAGGAAGAAGTATAATGCTATCCATGTATTCATGCACGGTAGACGGAGATGGGGACCTAGGGTGGCAGTGGTGGATACAGAGGGGGGGCCCATGGGGTCCGGCCCCCTTCTAAAGTCTATAAATTGGGTTAAATATTAAGCTTTTAGGTCAAAAATGGCGCACTAAAAAGCTTATTCTACATTACGTGTTATTTTGGGCTCCCCTAAAATAAATTCCTGTATCCGCCTCTGTAGGGTGGGGATCCTTGACATTTGAATTTGATTTGAAATGCTGTGGATTTGTCTGTCTTTACCTTAGATCTTTACTGAGCTTATTTTATGTTATTTATTATTTATTTTACAATTGGTAGTTGTTTAGAGGTAGTAAATCTAGAAGAAAATTTTGTGGCAGGACTTAAATTAACAGCGACACTATAGCGATTTATCGAAAAAAACTGTAAAATAGTTGTTTTTTTAGCGTGTAGTAGAACTCGGTTAAAAATCGAGGGAAATAATGGAATAACTTTTCAGTAGTAAGTGAGAAACACGTGTAGAAAACCGATCATTTTTGAAATTCACTTAAAATTAACTAATTATATATTTTTTTCTTGCATTTTTGTTTTTATTTACCACTTGTCAAAGTTTAGATGGCAATGAAAGGCCAAAATTCATTACATTATAATCTCAACTTTTGAAGTATAATTAGAGGTAAAAGTTAAAAAAAACGTTAATTTTTCTGCTAATCGAAAATTACTACCAGTACTACCACTAATTTTAACGTTTTGGATGATTACATTGAAATTAGAGAAACAAACTTCTACGCTAATTGAAACTACTAATTTTATCCACTAATTTCGTGGTACCGAATGAAGCTTTACCACCACTAATTTTGACGCTTTGAATGTTTACATTGAAATTAGAGGAACAACTTCTACGTTAATTAAAACCACTAATTTCGAGGGGTAAACCGCAGAGGGAAAAGTGTACACCGTAATTCCTTTTACTCAAATAATTCCTCAGAATTCCTCGTAATTCCTTCGGAATTCCTTGGAATTCCTGGTCTTCAAGGTCAAGGTCAATCATTCAAGGTCTTCCTTGGAATTCCTTGGTACGAACTCGGTAACTCTTTCAGTCTGAACCAGCGTTGCCACCTCGGTTTCGCAGTTCCGCTATGAATTTTCTGGTGATTTTTATAAATGTCTAATGTCTCTATAAGTACTAGATCTAACAATAAAAAGTACTATTACGAGATTTACGTTTTTTTAGTTAAATTTTAGGACTAATAGGGGATCATGAGGTAAAAATACTGGAAATATGTCGGCACTTACTTATTAAAATTAATTTTTCTCGGGATTTTTTGAAAATGATAGGTACCTAGTTATACTCGTATCTATAGGAAAGGAAATTAATAAAACTTCAGTTGCACGTCATAATACGATCACCAGTAAATTCCATAAGATTACGCATGGTATCATTGATGAAGTGCACCTAAAGTTGTATTAATTTCCCTATAGTATATACCTAGGTATTATTCCGAGGAAATGAAAAAATCAACTTTACACTTTCTGAGTACTGAATAAAAAAATCTTATGAGGGTTTCTTTAAAATTTCGAGGTTCTGAATCAAGCTTTACCACCACTAATTTTGACATTTTGAATGATTACATTTAAATTAGAGGAACAAACTTCTATGCTAATTGAAACCACTAATTTCGAATGAAGCTTTACTACCACTAATTTTGACGTTTTGAATGATTACATTGAAATTGAGGAAACAATTATTCTACTAATTTATTCCACTAATTTGGAGGTTCTGAATGAAGCTTATACCTTAAATTTCTGGATCAGGGAAAAGCAGAATATATCCACTGGAGAAACAGACAGGGGCACAGGCCCAGCAAGGCCTCTATCCAAGGACCTAGCTGTAAAACTGCAAAAGAACTGCTAGAGCTTACAACAGGCCTCTTGACAGCACATGGCTGTCAACTGTCAAGTGTTACCTGAACAAGCTCAACCTGTATCAACGAAGTCTTTGCTGCAGACTCTGCGATAAAGATCCTGAAACAGCGGAGCACATAATATGTCATTGCGAGGCTCTGGATCGCAAGCGACATTTTTTATTTGGGAAACCTAGGCTAGAACCGGAGGAACTATGCTCCCATTCTATCAAGGACCTGCATAAGTTAGTGCAGGGTACAGGGATATGAGAATGGGTGCAGATATAGAAAGGGGAGAAACACAATAGAGTCGCAGTGTTTTCGGCTGAGGACGGCCCCTTGTAATTTGGAAAAAAACTTATATCTTTGTACCCTTACCTCACTTGAAACAGTTTCTTATACTGACTTCTTTTCTGGACAATCACCGAGGAGAAGCTATTAATGAGACCTATCTCAGCCAAGTCACATATAGACTCCTGTTCAAACGTATGATCTATCAAGGGATATGCTGAGGTGGATTCCGTGTGATAGGCAAATCCGCCCCTGTGCACTCTTTCAATTCCTTCTTCGAGGGGTAGAAAGTTCAGACGGTCATGCGGGAATATTTTTGAACCATTAAGCAGTTTCATGTAGTAGTCTACCTTACCTAAAAAAAAGAAAGAAAAAAAATTGTGTGTGCACTATGTGCGCATATTTGAAGTGAGATTTCTTACTAACAGCTATTAGATTTGCTAGGGATTTGAAGGATATGTTCGAATAAGTGTAGGTAGTTTAAAATCAGAGCTGCAAGCTCACAGAAAACTTAAGTCTTTTTTTGACTTAAATCATTTTAATGACTTAAGTCATTTTAAAAAAAATAAGTCTTTTTCAAAATGACTTGTGATTTAAATCTTGTTTAAATCTATATTCCGATATAGAAAAAGATTTAATTCTTGTCAGAAAAGACTTAAGTCATTAAAAAAAATTAAGTCTTTAAAAAAGGCCCAAGTCAGATTTTTAGGATTATAAAATAAATATTTTTAATAAATAATATTTTCTTGCCTTTAGCTGTGTATTTTTTCTAATTTCGAAAAATCGAAAGTAGAGAAAAAAAATAAAAAGTAAAAAGAAAATCGTCTTGCTTGTCGTAAAGGGGGGAAGCAAGCTCCACTCCCACAACCGGTTTCTGGGCCTACCCTTCATCAGGTGGGCTGTCCAGAGGCTGGTTCTCACCGATACGGCAAGCAAAACTTTTTCAATATCAACACACGATGTCGTAAAGTGTCGGTGAGATATTAGTGCATCTCCCGTCAAAAGATGGTAAAGAGCGTTTTTCGGTCCGCTCATAATATATGAAATGAACAAAATTCTTACAGCTTTAATGTATATTAATAAATAATATTTTCTTGACTTTAGCTGTGTATTTTTTCTAATTTCGAAAAATCGAAAGTAGAGAAAAAAAAATAAAAAGTAAAAAGAAAATTGTCTTGCTTGACGTAAAGGGCCGAAAAACGCTCTTTACCATCTTTTGACGGGAGATGCACTAATCTCTCACCGACACTTTACGACATCGTCTGTTGATATTGAAAAAGTTTTGCTTCAGAACTTTTTCAGAACCAGCCCCTGGACAGCCCACCTGATGAAGGGTAGGCCCAGAAACCGGTTGTGGGAGTGGAGCTTGGTTCCCCCCTTTACGACAAGCAAGACAATTTTCTTTTTATTTTTTATTTTTCGAAATTAGAAAAAATACACAGCTAAAGGCAAGAAAATATTATTTATTAGAACATTGTTAAGAACAGCATTCCTTTTTAAACTGTTAGGCGACAGCCAAGCAGCAGAATAAAAAAAAACAATGCTCAATACCACTAGCAAATAAAACGTCAATTTTTCAGAACCGGTTTTTATTATTTGTCGTGTTACGCGTGCGTAGTGAGTTTGTTGTCTTTCAAGTGAATCTCCGACTCCGTTATAGAGGGTGTCCCAGAAATAAGTGCAAGTATTTCAACTGGTAGTATACTTTAACCCCAGAAACACGCCTATGAGGTTTTTTTCGCGAAAATTTTTTTTTTAGTTTTTAGTTAAAAAACATAATTTCTTGACAACATAGGTATTAGATTAAATTTACAAGAAAGAAAATCCAGAAAAGATCCAGTAGTTCTCAAAATTTTAGCAAAAAATAATTTTTTTTGGAAATATTCAATGTAAAATAACTCCGTTATTTTGGACTTATTTGAAAAACGATAAAGAGAAAATATGTTTCTTTTATCGAGATCTACCACCCCTTAAAATACTGGCACTTATTTCTGGGACACTCTGTATAGCCCGAAAGACGAATGAAAGGAATTTATCCCGAATATATTGAATAGTACCTTAAAATCTGACATTGTCATTTGTTTTGACACTTTAGTTTTGTATTACGAGTTTTTGGTTTAAATGAAAATTGTGTTTGGTTTGGTTTGGATACTTTTAGCTTAAATATTTTTACTAGCAGACCTTGCAGTCGAACATTGTTCTTTTTAGAACCTCTTTTAGTGCGAAGTGTACAAGATAGCTTAATAGGCGCTGCAAAAAAACTCATCGCAACCTTAACCTTATTAGAATATTTTGAACGGGAAAGAGGTTGTAAAAAAAAAGAGATTGTTGTTGAGAGTTGTATTTATATTTCAGAACTTTTTAAAAATTATTTAAATGTAAAGATTATTGGTTATGCGGACTTGGTAATTTTTGTTAAGGGTTCAAATATACTTGAGATGTCTGAAAAAATTAATAATGCTTTGGAGCTTGTAAATGATTTTCTTATTAATAGAGATCTTTCTTTATCTTTGGAAAAATGTGAGGCAGTATGGTTCACTAAGGGCAAACGGAGAGATCAGCCACCATTGATTCAACTTGGAAATCACATTATTCCATATAAACATAATGTGAAGTACTTGGGCGTTATTTTTCAAAAACATTTAAAGTGGGATTTGCATATTGAAAATATTACTAATAAGGCTAAAAAAGCCTTAAATGTTTTAAGGGCTGTTTGTAGAGTGTGGTGGGGAGCCGATCCTTGTACCCTTTTAATTATTTTTTCTGTTCTGGTGAGATCTCATTTGGAATTTGCAACAATTTTTATTAAACCAACTAGTCAAAAAAATTTAAATAAACTAGATGTAGTATTTTTTGAGGGTTTACGTATTTGTCTAGGTTGTATGAAATCTACTCCTAGATTAGCGTTGTTGGGAGAATCTTCTATGATTGATTTAGAATGTAGAAGAAAAATACTTGTAGGCAAATTTCTGTCTAAATTGTTAACTTTACAAAATAATCCATTAATAAATTTAATTTACAATATTAGAAAAACTGTTAATCCAATTTATATTAATAGTAATAATGTACCTTATGTGGTCTCAGCTTTGCATGACTTTCTGCCTTATATTGATAATCTTTATGTTAGTCAAAATTTTCCGTGTTATGAAGTTAGTTTTAATATTTTAAATGATTCTATTAAATTAGTTGATTGTCAAATTAATAAACATGATTTTTCTATTAAGGAACAATTTTTGTCAGTATCTGAACGTTTTAAAAATTCTCATATTTTTATTTTTACAGATGCATCTAAAAAGATAAAAGAACAGGATTTGGAATATATATTCCTTATATAAATTTTAAATTTTTTTCGCGACTAACTGGTTCTTTAAGTATTTGTAAGGCAGAATCCATAGCTATTCATGATGCAGTAAAGTTTGCTATTAAAAAGAACTTGCGTAGTGTTATTATCTTTTCAGATTCCAAAAGTTCAATTCAAAAAATTAGTAAAAATCTCTTTAAAGCATCTGCTGATTATTGGACCTTAAGAACCAAACGTTTAATTTGTTTAGCAAGTTCTAATGGTTTTGACATCAGGATTGCCTGGATTCCAGGTCATTCCAATATCTTGGGAAATACAGAGGCAGATTTGTTGGCTAATATTGGAAAAGATTTAAATATTCCGAAATCTATGGAGATGGATTCGATAGATATTTTTAATTCAATTAAAACTGATATTTTGTGTAATTATAAAGAAAATTGGAAATCTCGTATGGAAGGAAAAAAGCATGTGTATTTTAATATACAAACAATCTTCCCAGATAAACAATGGTCTAAAAATTTCCAGTATATAGAAAGAAGACATATTACAACGTTAATTAGAATGCGTACTGGCCATTGCTTAACAAAAACCATTTATATAAAATTAAAGTGAAGGAAGATCATTCTGTGAGTGTGGCTCTGTTGAAGACCTAAATCATATCTTTTTAGAATGTCCTATAAATTTTTTGTTTAATTTGGATTTATATCAAAAATTTATTGAAATGAATTTTCCTACTCCACTATCAATATTTACAGTTTTGTCTAAGCCAAGTGAAAAATTAATAGAAACTATTATGATATTTTTAAACATTAATAGAATTAAATTATAATGCTCAACTTTCTATTTTTTATTTTCTTTTTGTTTCAGTTTCCGAATGCAGTCTGTTTGTGTGACCTCTATCCTATGTGCCTTTGTGTGTGATATAATCTTCCTTTCAGCACGTCATTTATATATTTAATAAATAATAATAATAACATTTTACAGTCACAGGTCACAGGTTACCTTCATAGAAGTTAGTTATATTAAAATTTACCCATTATACATTTTACTCAGATAAGAATCAGTGGCCTTGATATGGTTTAGAGCCAGTCAACATCTTGGTTACTCCCAAATTGAGCTGGCGGTTGCCTTGTAGCAGAGCCATCATAAAAAAAGAAGAAGAAGAAGAAGAGGTTGTAATGGTAAAGGAGGTGAGTTTTGTTGATGTAAATTATAACTGTCTATAATTAATTTATTTTTGTTTCCTAAAACATTTTGATTAAAAGAAAATATGTAAAAGTGGGTAAAGCTAGATCACGCGATTAAAAGTTTATTTGGTATGATCTTACTTCTCTCTAGTATATAAGTGATTGTATAAGACTGCAGCTCAATGCCAACTTCCATTTGGCTCTCATATAGCTCCTTGATGGTTTTCAGAACTTCGGGCTCAGTACTGATCAGAGACGAAACCAAGCTGGAGGTGTAGTAATTGTACAAAAGAACGGACATTATAAAAAGGTGCAGAAGAATTATACGGCCAGCTACTTGAGTTGGAATTGTGTCAAGACCTGAAAAAAAATCAGTTATCAATATTTATATACAGGGTTTTTCAAAACAAATGCGAAAAACTTCAGGGGCTGATTCCTTGTTCAAAATAAAGGGTAGTTTGCTTCATAAACGTTGGGTCAAAAGTCAACCATTAGGGAGATATCGCGGTACAAAGATGGCGGAAAAATAATGTTTTTATTTTTTATCTTGAAAACGAAAAGAGATAAACTAATGAAATTTTTTGGAAGCATTACTGTTATGAAAACACACTTTCTGGTAATTTTTTCACTTTTTTAAAATAAGTGGAAGGGGTTGAAATAAACTACCCTTATCATTCTTGTTAACGAAATTTAAAGAAAAATCTTATCAAATACATGCAAAAAAAAAATTTGGATAATTTAGTTTGTTTAGACACTTTTTTATCTCTTGTGTTTTTTTGGTAAAATTCACCGATTTGAAATTAAAAAATTTGTAAAAATTGTAAAGCATTACAACCATGTCAGGACAAAAAATATTTTTGGATAAAGAATCTAGTAGGCTGCTGTCAAACAGTTTTATTTCGTAATAATATCGTTACATTTTCTTCTGAACGATAACCTCTTAAAAATTATTTACCAATTTTTAATTCTGCTTTTTAATTCATGAAAGTACAAAATAATAAAAAAAGTACATATTAAAAAATAAAAATGTTTTTTGTCCTGACATGGGGTAATGCTTTACATTTTATTTTTTAATTTCAAATCGGTGAGTTTTATCAAAAAAACACAAGAGATAAAAAAGTTTCTAAACAAACTAAACTATCCAAATTAATTTTTTGCATGTGTTTGATAAGATTTTTCTTTAAATTTCGTTAACAAGTATAATAGGGGTAGTTTATTTCAACCCCTTCCACTCATTTTAAAAAAGTGAGAAAATTACCAGAAAGTGTGTTTTCATAACAGTAATGCTTCCATAAAATTACATTAGTCTATCTCTTTTCGTTTTCAAGATAAAAAATTAAAACATTATTTTTCCGCCATCTTTGTACCGCGATATCTCCCTAATGATTGACTTTTGACCCAACGTTTATGAAGCAAATTACCCTTTATTTTGAACAAGAAATCAGCCCCTGAAGTTTTTCGGATTTGTTTTGAAACACCCTGTATATTTATTTTTAAAATCTTGCTGCAATTTCTAAAAATATACAAATGTTTACAAACTTTGTTGACAGAAAGCAGCGACTACAGTGAAGATCGGTCTAAACCATGATTTTCTTTTTTCTTTTGCATTTTTTTCTTCTACTAAGTAAGCCGCCTCGATACAACAGCAAACAATAAGACACGTGTAGAGCGTGGCAAACCAAGTAGTTCTGCTGAAAGGTTTAAGTACTTCTTTGAAGTTTGGTTTAACTAAACCAGGGTTTCTAAAGTAGAAATATGACCTAAAAATGTATATGATTATGCAACAAACATCAAATTACAGGGTGTGCCAAAAAGTACATGACAAATAATTTTTTTTATTAGAAATGTTGAAAAAAATCGAATAAATTTTCTCGATATTAAAAAAAATTGTTTTTGCGAAATTTCAGTACTCCCTGTATAATAATATCTAATCGCTTACCTGAATTTGTAGAAGGGCATGATAAAATCATAATAAAATATACGGTCCGAGTCAAGAAGGCGCATAATACATCCGCAGCTGGTCATGTCGGCTGCATCATCCCATAACATTTTGCCCATTCCTCCTGTTTGACCACTAGATGTGTTTCCGAAGTAGGATAAATGTATTGTTGTATTGTAACTGGAATATAATATACTATACATCAAAATGCTTATTTTGACATACAAAAAAAATGTTTTATTTCTTCATTTCCTTTCAGTCGATGCAGAAATTATTTATACACAACAGTCACAGCATCAGATTTTCAGCGATTTGACCCGGCGATTGGTAGACGAAAGTCTATGCCACCGGGACCTATTCTATATACATACTTACCTGAATTCATGCACCTGCTTCAACAACAAAAACTGCTGATAATGAAACTTGCTGTAGATATCGTAATATCTCAATTTCAGGTCCATCATGTATTCCTCGAAGGTGGTTTTGAACGGATATCTAATCTGGAAAATCGTAAAAATCGTAAATTAATGGAAAAGTCCGCTTTTTGACGTTCGAACAAATGGTACGTACAACGCTGGTGGACCTGATCAGGACGCCGGACATGTTTTTCCTCGATTCGTAATAAGATTTTGACGTGTTTACGTTCAATTTTTCCCGGCTGAAGTTTCCAATTTCCCTGGAAAATTATGAATTTTTCGTAGGCAAAAGGATCGGTCGGAAAGCTCAATAGCAAAATTACGAGTTATTATACATTTTTATTAAAACGAATATTTTTAAAAAGGTATATTCATATGAAATTAAACATAATTAAGTATTTAATTAAGTTTAATTACGTATGAATATATATTTTGATAATGAAACTTAATTGAGAATTGAATTAAATTTAATTACGTATTAAAATATATTTTTAAGAGTAAACTTACTTATTTTTATTAATATGTAATTATGTATCTAAGTTTAATTAAGAACTTAATTAAGTTTAATTACATATTAAAATATCTTTTTAAGAATAAACATACTTATTTAAATTAATATGTAATTAAGTTTAATTACATATTAAAATATCTTTTTAAGAATAAACTTAATTATTTAGATTAATATGTAATTAAGTTTAATTAAGAACTTAATTAAGTTTAAAAAAATGCAGTACTTAAACAATTAATCATAAAAAATTTAAAAAAAAGATAAACTAAATATATAATTAAAAAATAATATAAAAAACTATAAAACTAAAAATTAAAAAAAAACATAAACATAATAGACATATTTATCATATTATATTCATACCTTTTGATCAGTCCAACGTTGATTCCTGGATTAAAAATTTCAAAAACTTTATAAGTTTGGTTATCAATGCGTAAGAAAAATTTGACGTCCATGTCCATCCTTGTTTTAAATGATTTAAACATTTTAATAACATCTAAATTTTTATTAGATATTAAAAACCAATTGTAGAGAAATTGAAACTTTCCAAACCTGTCTAATGTTGAAGCCTACGAGTATACCAAAAAAAAACATACACTATTTATTATTATTACTATTTATTTACACGATGTTTGTTAGAAATTAAAAATATTTTTTTATTTATGTAAGGTTTTGTTTATAAGTCTTTAATAAGGGTAATATACAGGGTGGTCCGTATGTAACTGTATTCCGGAAACTTTGGCAGCATATGCTGTTGATTAAAATCAGTAAAACAGATCGTATAAATTTATGTTCTAAAATGCCTAATTTCGGAGATACAGGGTGTAGAAGTTTCATTTTTATTTCTATTTTTTTCAAATAATTTCTGAAGTAACGACGTTTTTTGCGCAAAAAAGGTCTCTTGGTAAAAACGGTTCTTGAGATATTTGGAATCGAAATTATCAATACCTGTCATCATTGACATAAATTAAACATGTTGACTAAACAGCTATTAAATTGAAATCATAAATTTGAAATGTTTTTGTGCTAAAAGTTCAACAGAAACTGTTTTATCATCATTTTTTCGAACATAAATTTATGTGATTAATTTAGAAAAATTAATCATTTCAGTTAAAATAACTATTTACTCTCAACATGTTTATTTTTTGTCAATAACGACATGTATTGACTATTTCCGTTCTAAATATCTTGAGAACGGTTGTTCGTAGCGATTTTTACCGAGTGATATTTTTTACGTAAAAGAACACGAAAATGTATATTTTTTCACTAAGTAGTTTTATACAGGTACGGACGAAAAGTTATTACTCTTCAAAGCAGTTAAAATACATATAGGTGGCGCCCTCTATAAGTAGGAGTCATATTGGCATCAAAATCAAATTTCTCCGAGACACCAATTTTCGTCCAAATTTTGATGTTACTTCAGATATGATTTGAAAAAACTCGAAATAAAAATAAAACTTCTACAACCTGTATCTCCGAAACTAAGCATTTTAGGGCATACGTTTATACGAACTTTTTTACTTATTTTTATCTGTAGAATATGGTGCCAAAGTATTCGGAATACAGTTCGAACCACCCTGTATAGAATTTTCAATTATTAAAAACTTTAAATCAATAAAAACCAACTTGTTAAATCTGTAAAACTGCTCGATAATAATACATAACAACCCGCTTTTACATTCATTTCGTTATTTCATTAGTCCAAATGTTTATTATTTCGTAAATGCAAAATATGTTTTTGGATGCTGTGCGATGTAGCCGCAGTAGTACAATCAATTCGCTGTTCCGCACTGAGCTTATATTTTAATAAAAAGCAACGCCTAGCCTGTTGCTTTGTAGTAAAGCATTCATTATATTAAAATGTGTACGTAACGTATTTTAAAACATATTTCTGCTTTCGGAAATATAGGTTTATGGTATTGTTTGGTAAGCTTCAGATTGATTATTTATTTGAGAAATAATTTATTTAAAAAAATATGAGATTCAGTACTAAAGAAGCCAACGAAAAAGACAAAAAAAACCTACTTAATTTATTTGGCTTAAATTTCCATATAAAAATGTGTTTCAGTACTGTTTTTTTTGTCATATCGATTCACTTAGTAATACATTTTAAGTAACCATAATTTAATAAGTTATGATACACAAGTTATAATTGTTCAGTAATTGTTATCTAAGTTGAAAATTTACCTAGTGATAGTTTATTAGTAAAGGCTAGCAACACAGACAAATTAATAAGCAGTACTCGAAGCCTAAAATAGCCAGTATACAGGGTGGTCCAAACTGTATTCCGGAAACTTCGCCAGCATATTCTGCAGATAAAAATAAATAAAAAAATTCATATAAATGTATCTCCTAAAATACTTAGTTTCGGAGATACAGGGAGTATAAGTTTCCTTTTAATTTTGATTTTTTCCAAATAATTTCTAAAATAACGTCAATATTTGGATAAAATTGGTGTCTGGGAGTTTTTTGACATGAGAAATTTTATTTTGATGTAATATGACTCCTATATGTAGGGGGCGCCACCTACATGTGTTTCAACTGTTTTGAAGAGAAAAATATACATTTCCGTGATTTTATACGTGTCAATACAGGTACGGACAAAAATTTATTTCTTTTCAAACCAGTTAAAACATATGTAGGTGGCGCTTTCTACAAGTAGGAGTCATATTGACATGAAAATCAAATTTCTCATGCAAAAAAACTCCCAGACACCAATTTTCATCCAAGTATTAACCTTATTTCAGAAATTATTTGGAAAAAATTGAAATAAAAATAAAACTTCTCCGCCCTCTTTCTCTGAAACTAAGCATTTTAGGACATATATTTATAAGAACTTTTTTAGTTATTTTTGTCTGCAGAATATGCTGTCGAAGTTTCCGAAATACATTTCGTACCACCCTATATAGACTAGCTATTTGTTTATCATAATTTATTAAGTTATGAGGTACACTTCTTTAGGTATTCTATAATCGTGTCATTGTTGAATATTTCATTATACCGTATGATCGAAAAAAAAGTCGGCGTCCAGTTGGCTTGGAAATGACGATCTATGACATTTCCCATATAATGTAACATATAAAATGACACCGATCTTCATTTCGTAGCCATCTCTAACGCCGTTTTTTTTCGATCATATTTTATAAGTATTAAATAATTTGGGAATTAATATAGTTTAGATTTTTTGTAATCAAAGTTATGGTAGATAATGAAATTAGAAGAAAAAACTTTATAATTTATATTTATATTTGATACCAATTAAACTTTTAGTTACGTAATCGAGGGCGTGATTTTTAAATTCATTGTTACCAACCATGGACATATTCGTCGCCGGGCGGACTAACAGGAATTTCCCGCTGGGAATTCAGGTGGTAACTCTGCTGTAAAAAATGTCAAGTTTACATTTATTTATTTATTTATTTCCTAACATTGTCATTGATTTTGATATTTTAGTTTTGTATTACGAGTTTTTGGTTTAAATTAATTGTGTTGTGATATTTTAAGCTTAAACATTTTACTAGCAGACTTTGCAGTCGAACAAACCAAACCAAACCTCTTTAAGTGCGAGGTGTACAAAATAGCTTAATAGCCGTAAAAACTACCGTGCAACTTTATTAGAATATATTGAACGGGAAAGCGGTAGTAATGGCCCTTCATGTCCGTTAAGTGCTCTTTTGTTGACGTAAATAATAACAGTTTATATATTTATAATTCATTTATTTTTATTTCCTAAAATATTTTGATTAAAAAAATATGTTAGGCAACGATGCGCCGGTCAAGCTTAATCACGTGACTAAAAGTTTATTTGGTATGAACTATATTTAAATATACTGTATATTTTTTAAGCAGAAATAATTAATTTAAAATAGACAAAAAGTTATCTTTCCGCTTGTGTCAAACTCTTAAAAAACTATAATTAACTAAAATATACCGTTTTCAGCACGTTTTTTGCTCTTGGACAATCTACACCAATGAAAAAACTCAGTTTTTCGTATTTTCCCGTTCTTATTTTCGCCATTTGCTTTTCGTTGACCCTGGAAAAAGCGACGCGAACGTCTGGAAATTCCCTCAGAATTATCTTTTGCATTTCCACGGCGTCTGGAAAATTAAAAAATATAAATTAGGAGGCTGACGGTCTAAATTCCTTTTTAATTATATTATTATTCGTATTTCGGTTATTATTTCCTGGTTGTCGTTTCTGATGGCATAAAAAGTAAAAAAGCTTTTATAAACTTGGCTTTAATACATTTTTTTCTTGTTTTTAATATATTTTTAAAAGAGATTTTTTTTTGAGTTATTCTTAATTATTTAAAAATGTTATTTTCTGACCATCACGTCAAAATAAAGTTTTTCGATAAAGATTAGACGATGTGGGTATTTGAACGGGCGAATGCCTGTCGTTACAATTTCATTAAGTATATTTATTATTAGTATATTTATATATCATTAACAATTCGCTAAAATATGGGATCTTCCCAGACAGGCTGAAGTTGGCATTTATTAAACCAATCTACAAAAAAGGGAATTTCTCTGATTTGAATAATTATAGACCAATTAGCTTACTGCCAAGCTTTTCAAAAGTATTTGAAACAATAGTTGCAAACAGAATATTAACTTTCATGAATAGTTGTAAACTGTTTCAGAATATACAACATGGGTATTTGAAGGAGAAAGGTACCATTACTGCATTGTTCGATTTCACTACATCAATAATACAACATCTGGAAAATAAAGATCTGGCAGTGGGTATATTTCTTGATTTATCAAAAGCATATGACTCTTTAGACCACCATTTACTACTAATAAAACTCGAAAAATATGGAATAAGAGGTCCAGCACTCAAATGGATTACATCATACTTGACAAATAGAGAACAACAAGTTATTGTGAGAAAAGACGAAAAGATTAGTAAGTCCAGTATACAAAAATTGAATATTGGTATACCTCAAGGCAGTATCATTGGGCCACTACTTTTTATCATCTACTTAAACGATATTAGTCAAACAACAAGAAATGCAAATTTTAGCCTTACATGCTATGCAGATGACACTAATATACTTACTCACGGAACAACACAAGATATTCTGAAGGAGAATGGCAGCAAGGCTTTCATAAGAGTAGAGGAATGGTTTGATGCAAATAGACTAATGCTAAATAAAGAAAAAACTAATACACTAATTTTTCGAACACAACAGAAGAAAATTGAATTAGCGAGCAATTTGAAAATTGGAGAAATGGATGTCAGCCTTGGTGGTGAATGCAAATTTCTTGGTATTTACATAGGCGAGCACTTAAAGTGGACCCAACATATTTATAAGCTATGCTTGAGACTTGGCACAATTTCCTACGGTCTGAGAATTGTGTCAAGTTATGTGAACCCAGACTCAATGAAGACACTATACTGTGGAAATTTTGAGGCAGTGCTGAGATATGGAATTATTCTCTGGGGATCAAATTCAAAAAGTGCAAAAATTTTTGTGATTCAGAAAAGAATTATAAGACTTATAAAGAAACTTCAGTACAGAGAAAGCTGTCGAGGACACTTGAAATCCTTCGGAATTATGACGCTTCCAGCTCTTTATATATACGAGTGTTTAATATTCATCTTCAAACATAAGTCCCTATTTGAAATGGAAAAATCTCATGAATACCAAACAAGGTCCAGTGATGCCAAGTTCCCCTCACATCGTCTCACCCTGACTGAAAAAAATCCAGTATACATGTGTGTAAAGTTTTACAATAGTCTCCCTGAAGACATAAGAGCCATCGAAAGTCAAGAAACCTATAAGAAATCGTTGAAAAAACTCTTAATTGAATTGGAACCCCACTCAATCAATGAATTCTTAATATAAAAGTCTCTTCACCGCTGACAATATTTCAATATGTGTATATATTTGTAATTTTATTGTACATATTTAGATCATTTTTGAAATAAATATTTTTATTATTATTTATTATTATTATTGTTTTTCATTTTTGTTATTTCAACAATTATTATTTATTATAGTTATTTCATCACTCTTTAATACAGTTGGGCGTAGGAACCTTTGGTGTTAGAATAGACATAATTAGACATTAGAATAATTCGATTAAAAGATAAGATATGGTTAACCGGATAAACCTTGCGTTGCACAACATATTGTTGATAAAGAACATATTATACAGGGTCCGACAATGGTGGAATAAAAAACTTGAGAATTTTTTTAATTGCAAACCTAAAGTATGTACCGGGGATGTATTTCACGAAAATATTTCAACTTCTACAGGATGGCTCAAAAAAGTGTGAGTGGATCGGGATGATTTTTTTAAATCGGCAACCTGTATATTATTGCATTTTTGGTTTCCTTTCTGATCACATAATATATGAGTAAATATATTTCGATACTTTCCGAGATATTAATAAGTAAATAAAAAATATATGTTTTACAATCTTTTTTAAAAAAGAATATTACAAATACAAGAACTGTCTCCTGAAATCAAAACTATATTAGATGGTTTATACTTACTTTGCGTTACATATCGTAATCTTAAATCAAACAGGATGTTCAAAATTCTCAAACTTTCTAAAATATAAAATACTTTTTCTTTGTTTTTTTTTTAAATGGAACACCCTGTATTTTATTTTTTCAATAGATAGAGAATTAAAAAATGAACATTTTTTGTGTTTAAAATATTTCAAAATTTTTAATGGTTTCGTAGATACAGGCAGTATTATTTCATATGGCTCTTTCAATGGTAAAATACGAGAGATAAATCATATCGGATGGCTTTGATAAAAATTTACTGTGGAAAATGCCATATGAATTACAAAACCGCGAATATCTGCGAAACCGTTAAAAATTTTGAAATACTCTAAATACAAAAAATGCTCATTTTGTAATTCTTCATCTACTGAAACTCTCGTTTGTTGATATTGAAAAAGTTTTGCTTGCCGTATCGGTGAGAACCAGCCCCTGGACAGCCCACCTGATGAAGGGTAGGCCCAGAAACCTGTTGTGGGAGTGGAGCTTGGTTCCCCCCTTTACGACAAGCAAAACAATTTTCTTCTTACTTTTTATTTTTTTTTTCTGTACTTTCGATTTTTTGAAATTAGAAAAAATACACAGCTAAAGGCAAGAAAATATTATTTATTAATATACACTAAAGCTGTAAGAATTTTGTTCATTTCATATATGAGCGGGCCGAAAAAGGCTCTTTACCATCTTTTGACGGGAGATGCACTAATATCTCACCGACACTTTACGACATCGTCTATTGATAATGAAAAAGCTTGACTTGCCGTATCGGTGAGAACCAGCCTCTGGACAGCCTACCTGATGAAGGGTAGAGCCAGAAACCATACAAAATGACATTAGAGTCAAAATTAATAAATGTAAAGATAGTATGAACAGAGGCAATGGTCTAATTTAGGGTTTCACGAGATTCTCGAAATTCGACATATCTCGTCTCGTCTCGTCTCGATTTCCAGACGAGACTGAGAATTTTTTTTCGAGACGAGATCGAGAAAATGACTTCGAGATTTTTCGAGATCGAGAAATTTTTTCGAGATTTCTCGATCTCGAAAAACTTTAGATGCTGCATTAACTCAACAGCTCATGAAAGGCTAAAAAAATGGAAATAAAAAACTATGTTGGGAAATATTTTCTCTACAATCCTCACAAATAATCAAAAGATAACTTCCCCAAAACTGTTCGATCAGTCGGTCTTTTCAGAATAAAGAAATGTCGTAAATATAATATATTCTTGTTCTTATGGCACCATTTTTGTATAAATTTCATTATTAACTCCTATTGAGTTAAACTAATTTAAGTAATGTCGAAGAAAAAAAGATTTTCAATAAAAGACTCTTTCGAGTAAACAAAAATCAGTTTGTTGCACAATGAAGTAAAAATTTTTAAACTTTCGTAGGTAGCTAGGTAAATTTTAAACCCATATGGATAAAAAACTAAATTAAAAAATAAAGGAATTGTTTTGATTTTCGCTTTTTAAAACAAAAAAAAAAATATTTTTGGGATTTTGGGCCAAAGTCTGCGTTTTTTTTGTTACGCATGGCTTTTAGTTCATACCATACCTATAATAGCTCTGTATTCTATAACGTATTTTTTTAACAGAAAAAAATTACCCTATCTTTTGGTGCAGACTTTATAACATCATATTTTTAGCCGACCATACCAATAGGTATGGTAGGCTATTAAGATCGACAAAAAAAAGATTTTTTTAATTTCACTCAAAATGAGTTATTTGGGTCATCAATGACCTAAATACAAAACTAACTCAAGGATACAAAACAAACTCAGGATAACTCAAAAACCGGTAAACCGATTTTAACCAAATTTGTCACAAAAATACTGTGGTACCCGAATCTGGCCATTAGTTTTTGGTGGGGGTGGAGGTTGGTAAGGGGGTATGGGAGGGGGTTAAAAATTTAAAAAAATCGTAACTCCAAAATTACAGTAGCTAGCGAAACGCGGTTTTCAATTTAAGATTAGGAATAATATTTGCAACAAAATTTGTAATAACATCAAAATCAGTCAAAGTCTCAGTTTATGAGATAAAAAAAATTGAAAAAATTCCTTTACTTTGAAACTAAAAGAACTGCCTACCGTCAATTTTTTAATAATAATAAATCAGTTATTTATTTTCGAGACTCTCGAAATTTCGAGAATCTCGAATCGAGATCGAGAAATTGACTTCGAGAAAAACATCGAGACGAGAGTTTGTTAATATCTCGTCTCGATGATCGAGATGAGACGAGAAATTGCCTTCGAGACGAGATTTCTCGTCTCTATGAAACCCTAGTCTGATTCCTTCCAATTCTCTGTTCCTACTGCTCTAGTTTCGGTAATTAATTGTTACCCTCGGTTGGTTTCGACTCGCGTGGCTAGTTTTTGCCACGCCTACTCGATGCCAACTTAGATATTAGATTAGTTATAATCATTTGCTGATGATCTGCGTCAAGTGCGAAAATAAAAGTGTTTTGGTGTATTGTGCTGATTTAGTGTTTTATTTTACAATGTTTACCCTTTGTTTAAAAGTGGCAATTTTATTCAACTTGGAATATTGATTCTTAATATATCTTAAAAAATGTTTTTTTTTTA